ACAAACAACTAGTTGTCACTTACAGCCCATAGTAACTCCACTTACTGTATCAACCCCTTAGAGGATCTTTGCCCTCCTTTCCTAGCCCATCTTAAAATTGCTAGTCGAATCCAATTAGCAAGGAAATTCAGAGTTAACATGGATAATCTGGGTCAACAGTTCCTCCTTATGTGATTTTACACAGGTAGGAGGCGAATGACCATTACTATTTTCAAGTACCTAGAGCAGGGGAATGGGCAGCATTAAGTTAGCATAAGGCCACAGAAATCCACTAAACCCTTTGGTGGGCCATTTTTTCTTAACGGCTACATACTGTGTAACTCCGAAATGTTTGCTACAATACAGCATGTTAATATACAATTCACCATGGATTAACAGTGTAAAACAGAAGTGTTCTTAAATATAAAAAACGGCTACTCACCTCTCATAACTGTTGCTCTTCGAGATGTGTTGCTCATGTCCATTCCAACAGGTGTGTGCACGCGGCACATGCACGATTGCCGGAAGCTTTTCCCTAGCGGTACCTGGAGGGTCAGCAGTGGAGACCCCTAGAGTGGCGGCAGGGTCATATATACATCGCCATGAGGGCGACTCGCCGCCCGTTCAGTTCCTTCTTGCCAGAAGACTCCGACAGTGGGGAAACGGGCGGGACCTGGAATGGACATGAGCAACACATCTCGAAGAACAGTTACGAGAGGTGAGTAACTGTTTTTTCTTCTTCAAGTGATTGCTCACGTGCATTCCAATAGGTGACTTCCAAGCAGTTACCTCGGAGGACGGGTCGGAGTTCACCTGACTGTCGACTGGAGGACTGCCAAACCAAAAGCAGCAGCATCCCTCGCCTGCTGGGTAATTGCGTAATGGGAAGAGAAGGTGTGGACTGAAGTCCACGTTGCTGCCTTGCAGATGTCCAGGATAGGGACCTGTGCCAGGAAAGCCGCAGACGTTGCTTGTGCTCTGGTGGAATGCGCTGTAATAGGTGGAGTTGGAATTTTAGCCAGGTCATAGCACGTCCTGATGCAGGACGTGATCCATGATGAGATTCTCTGTGATGAGATAGGAAACCCCCTCATCCTTTCTGCAATTGCAACAAAAAGCTGTGGTGATTTACGGAATGGCTTTGTGTGTTCAATGTAAAAGGCTATGGCCCGACTAACATCTAAGGTGTGAAACATGTGCTCCCTGTTGGTGGCAAGGGGTTTAGGGCAGAACACAGGCAAGAATGTGTCCTGGTTCACATGAAACTGGGAGACCACTTTGGGTAAAAATGCAAGGTGGGGGCAAAGCTGCACCTTGTCTTTATAAAACACTATGTACGGGGGTTTGAAGGTCAGGGCTCTGAGCTTGGATACCCCTCCTCGCAGAGGTTATAGCTACTAGGAAGGCCACCTTCCAGGACAGATAGGAGAGAGGGCAGGTAGCCATAGGCTCAAACGGGGGCCTCATGAGAGAGGATAGGACCAGGTTTAGGTCCCGGGGGGAACGGGCCGATGTACAGGTAGGTAAAGTCTGCCAAGGCCCTTAAGGAACCTGCCCACCATAGGGTTACTGAATACTAATCCCCCCAGCATTCCCAGGTGGAAGGCCAAAATGGCCGCCAGGCGTACCCTTAGGGATGATATCGCCAACCCTTGGCACTTGAGGTCCAAGAGGTAGTCTAGGACAAGAGGAACTGGGGCTGATTGTGGGTCAGATCCTCTTTGTTGGGACCAAATGGAGAAACGCTTCCACTTGGCCAGGTATGTTGTTTGAGTGGAGGGTTTTCTACTTCCCAATAGGACTTCCCTGACCGAGTTTGAGCACTGAAGTACCAAAGGGTTCAACCAGGGAGTTTCCATGCTTTGAGGTGGATGGACTCCAGGTTGGGGTGCTGCAGCTGGCCGTGGTCCTGTGAAATTAGGGATGGGCAGATGGGGAGCTCTATTGGTATGACCACTGAAAGGTTCAGCAACATGGTGAACCAGTGCTGGCGGGGCCATGCTGGTGCTATCAGAATCTACGAGGCCCTGTCCTGGCGAACCTTGAGGAGCACTCTGTGTGTGAGGGGGAACGGTGGAAACGCATACATCAGGTGCCCCGCCCAAGATAGGTGACAGGAGTCCGCAATGGAGCCCGGGCTGTAGTTCAGGAAGGAGCAGAACCTCTGGCACTTCCTGTTGCCCCGCATGGAGAACAGGTCTGTATGGGGAAAGCCCCACTTCTGGAAAATTGAGTGGGTGATATCCGATTTGAGGGACCACTCATGTCCCTGGAACGAGCGGCTGAGGCAGTCTGCCAGCTCGTTCTGCACCCCAGGAAGGTATGACGCCTGCAGGTGTATGGAGTGCGTGATGCAAAAATCCCACAGGGAGAGGGTTCCTGACAGAGGGGAGAGGAGCGAGCACCACCCTGTTTGTTTATATAAAACATTGCTGTGGTGTTGCCTGTGAGTACTGATACGTACCTGTCTCGGAGACGGCTCTGGAATGTCTGGCATGCCAGGCGAACTGCTCTCAACTCTCCGACATTGATGTGCAGTGACAGCTCTGCCTGGGACCAGAGGCCTTGGGTTCTGACACTGCCCAGATGAGCTCCCCAACCAAGCGCTGAAGCATCCATAACCAGGACAATCGTCGGTTGGGGCTTTGCGAAAGGTACTCCCGCACAGACCATCTGAGGTTGGAGCCACCAGTGGAGGGAGCTGAGTATTCGCGGGGGGAGGGTCACTATTGAGTCCAATGAATCCTTGCCCTGCCTGTGCACCTGTGCTAGCCAAGCTTGTAGAGGTCGAAGGCGGAGCCCGGCATGTTGCACCATGTATGTGGAGGTTGCCATATGTCCCAGAAGCCCCATACAGTTTCTGGTTGTGGTGATTAGGAAATGAAGGAGAGTATGAATAATGTCCAAGATTGCTTTGAAGCGTAGCTCTGGGAGGAACGCCCTTGTGACTGTACAGTTCAGGAGGGCTCCAACGAACTCTATCCTTTGAGTGGGGGTCAGGATAGACTTGGGCTCGTTCAAAGTAAGGCCCAGTCTGAGGGATGCGTCCCTGACCAGGGATACGTGCTGTGCTACCCTTGTTTGGGATTCTGCCTTGAGAAGCCAGTCATCTAGGTATGGGAAAACCTGGACCCGGCGCCTGTGGAGGAACGCTGCCACAACCGCCACACACTTGGTGAATACCCGAGGGGCGGAGGAAAGGCCGAACAGAATGCCCTGAACTGGTAGTGATAGCCACCGACTACGAACCTGATAAAACGCCTGTGGGAAGGGATAATTGAAATATGCGTCCTTCATGTCGAGGGCGGCGTACCAGTCTCCCGGCTCCATTGAGGGAATGATGTTGGCCAGAGAGACCATGCGAAACTTCACTTTTTTTATGTATGAGTTAAGGTCTCGCAGGTCCAGGACAGGCCGAAGCACCCCCTTGGCCTTGGGGATAAGGAAATAACAGGAGTAGAACCCCTTCCCCCTGAATTGCTGAGGGACCTCCTCTATCGTGCCTAGCGCTAGGAGCGACTGAACCTCCTGTAAAAGAAGTTGCTCATGAGAAGAGTCCCTGAAGAGGGATGGGGGAATGGGGGTGGGAGGGCGGTACAGAGCAGAATTGGATAGAATATCCCACCCCTACCGTGCTGAGGACCCAGCGATCTGACGTGATCTGAGCCCAAGCCTGGTAGAAACGGGAGAGTCGGTTCACAAAGGGACGGGAAAGATCCGTTAAGGTGACTGGTGCACCGTCCTAATGCGTAACTTCAAAAGTTAGGTTTAGGGTCAGGGGGCTGTTTAGTCAAACCCTGGCCTTGGCCCGAAGAGGACTGTGGCTGCCTCCTATTGTTTCTGCCCCTCCTTCTAGGTGGTCCTTGGTAGAAGCGAGATGGGGGCTGAGGCCTAAAAGGCCTTCTCTGAGGTGCCGGGTCCTTCCTCGGTGCCGGGACATCCCGCACCAAGGCTGGTGCACTGCGTACTGAGGAGACCGGTGCCAGTTCCATCTGTGGCTGAAGGGCCGACTCCATCAAAAGGAGTTTCAGGTGGTAGTCCCGCTCTTTCTTTGTTCTGGGGTTAAAGCCCCTGCAAATAGGGCACTTATCTGTTTGATGGCCCTCACAGAGACACTTGAGACAATCGGCGTGCGGATCGCTTGTGGGCACAGCCCACACCTCTCACACGCTTTAAACCCCTGCAGCCGAGGCATACCCCAGCGCCGGGGAGAACAATAACTACAACTATTAACAACTTGAATAACTATCTACACTGAAGACAAAGGAAACCACTAGGCTAAGCAACTTGTGAGCAAACACTAAGCTGTTCCAACGACCGTCACGGGCGGTAAGAAGGAACTGAATGGGCAGCGGGTTGGCAGGGTCATATATACGTCGTCACGAGGGCGCCACTCTAGGGGTCTTCACTGCCGACCCAACGGATACCGCTAGGGAAAAGCTTCCGATGAGCGTGCATGCAGTGCACGCAGACACCTATTGGAATGCACATGAGCAATCACTCGAAGAAGAAAAGCCCTTTACAGCATAACCTTTAAACAAACAACTTAAGTCTTTCACTAACCCCTTTTCCAGTGTGCAGAAGAGAAAGGGATTAATACATGAAAACATCCAAAAATAAATATCTTCAAGTTTTTTCTCTGCCTTTCCCAGTCTCTGCCTCCTCTCTGCTCCCCCATGGACACAGGGTCTACCACATGGGCAGTACTTAAGTTATATAGGTCAAAGATGGGAGGTAAAACAGATCTTGTGAAAATCTGAACCTGTGATCCTGAAGAGTCAAGCAACCTCCTTCTGGTTTAACAGTGCTAGGAACCCTCATAACCCACAAGTTGCCTTTTTTATTTTTTTTAAGCACTACACATGCACAGAAACTGAAAAATGCTTTAATACTTAATCAAATAGGAAACCATACCTCATACTGTATTTATAAAAGCCTTTAGAGAACCTCATACTCCAGTAAAAGCAAGGAAGTATTGAAAGTCTGAATTCAATTAAAAACAAAACCAGCAATTAACTGACCTGCCATGGGTAGAATAGAGGTGTCTGATCCAAAGGAACTCTCAAAGGAGCAACAATTACCAGTTCAAACAGAAGACCAAGCAGAAGTGGAACCACACCAGCTAGTAGCACAGCTACTATCAGTGTCTTCATTATCTAAAACACAAAAAACTGGATTTATAAATGATGCGAGATGGCTAGTTCCAGTCAAAGCCGCACCTCTCAATTTCTCAGAGTTTAAAGCCTTTGCATGTTTACTCTTAAGAGAAAAATAAAAAGGCAGAAAAAATTGATACTGAATTAGTATATATGCAAAATTAAGTTCTGTTAACTGTAAATTACAATACACACCTGTAGTTACAAAATCTGTATTTTTAATGCTTTTTAGCCCAAAAAAGTAATTAACAGGATCCTCTTTGATGTCGTCTTTTTTTTTTAAACCCCATACTCATATTTGACTGTCGTAGGTATGGAAAGTACCCAATGACCAGTACTTAATCAGGAAGAATTCTTTCAGTGTTTCTCCTCCCCAACACAGTTATGATCAAGATGTGAGTTTTTTGTGTTATTTACAGGTTATGCAGTATTTGTTAAATTGATTAACAGATTGAATGTAATTCTGTCCTTGAATTTTTTGCATATAATAAAAGCAAAGGCATCCTGATCTAATTAACTTTGTCAGTGCAGGGTGCAGAGGACAGACCCAAGGATATAATTTAGTATTGATATTGGCAATTTCCTTTGGCAAACTAAATGAACTGCAAATGAAGTGAAGAATGTGCTGATCAGGGAGACAGTTACAGCATGAAACATCTATTAAAACTGCTATTGTCTGTAAATATCTAGTAAGATGTAACCTTGAGAGGATCTTTCACAGGTTACCCCATTCCCCATGCATCTTTAAAACGTATCCATAAAGGGAAAAAATATGTTACCATTCCAGAATTATAGCAAGGTTGAGTATGGAAGTTCTATAACTAAAACCAATTGAGACAGGTGAGGGCTTGCCTTGATTATGATGAAAACTTCCCTCAGTGTCTAAAGTCACTATTAGCATAAGAACCATTATGAAAATAGTCTCATCATAATTGGAGAGGAAGTGGTTTTTTTTTTTTAAAGTATTCATCTGAACAACGCCACAAATTTGGTGATCTGAAAGAGCTTTCTGAAAATGTGCACCGTGCAGCTACACAACATATGCCTGTACAAAAAAAATGGTTTCCCATAACTGACTATCATCTCCAGTCTTATTTTTGGCACTTCACGAATACCGTTAAGTCTCTAAACAGGTGAACACTTCACAATTTTCATCTGTTACTTTTTACAGAACAGAATTAAACAACTGTAAACAAATATTTCTTGAGATCATGTGATACAGGTTTTCACTGGATAGTATCCTGTACTATGTTTCATTTAAATGTGAACGTAATAGTTAAATAGTTAGTACTGTGGCGCTCAAAGGACTGATTCATTAACATTCTGTTTGAATACGGTTTCCATCGGAACAGTGATTACTGTTCAGAAGTCCAAACTCAGACTGAGTAGCTTTAGGGGAAGGAGGCTGGGGATCAAAAAGGAAAAAACAGTACAAGGTGAGTTTGAGAGGAGGAAGCAAGTATAACTCATTAAAGAAGCAGAATATGCTGTTTGATAATACAGCAAAAGCTTTCTTCTATCAAGAACTTACCATGAGGGACCACTCTTTAACCTTCTGAAAAATCACTCTGCGACCCTGCGGCATCCATGCGACTAGAACGGTCACCGCCCGAATGGTTAGCCAGCAGACATAAAGACCACAAGCAGCTGTGTACAGTTCATGGATTTTGGCTGCTCCCGTCCAAAATGACATTAACCAACGGCCAGCAAATACTGGAAATGTAGAGATTAATAAATATACTAAGACTAAGTAGCAGGATTATTTTACCTATCAGTGAAGGATGACAACTATAGTGTAAATTTGCCTCAGTCTTAAACCCAATGTAAAATATGAGTTTTCAAAATCTTGTGCTGAGTTCACAAATATTGCAAATTTCAATTGGTTTGTTATCTCACATCCTAGACAAAAAACAAAACATCCATTTAGATTCACGAACTTTAATTTCAAGGATAAGTTTAAAAACAAAGCTGAAATAGTAATGGTTCATTCTCAAAATTTATGGCATTCAATTCCATTTGTGGCATTCAATCTAGCACAAAACAAAAGTGTCTAGAGTGCAACAAAAATGTTTAGATACATTCTAACAGTAAGCTTGAAACTGGCTCATTTTCCATTAATACTACAATCTCGCTACAGAAGTACTCTTAGTACCATGATGGTGGGGACCATGAGAGCACCCCAAGTATTTAAAAATAGAAACAATAACTGTCTTTCTTCCATACCAGGCTATAGGAGAAATTGCTCCATTGTCTTATTTATAGATTTCGTTTGCTTGCTGGCTTATGTTTAGGAGAGGTTGGGTGTGCTGTGTGAAGTTACTGAGAAAAAATTAAGTCAAAGATAGGAGTAGTTTGAAAGAAGTCCAGGTCCATGGTCATTATCTCACTCATCTCTCACAGGTAACAAGTTACATAATTTAGATATATCTCCTGTGAAAAATACCGTCTCCAAAAACTTACTAGCCTCCCCAACTGGTTGACAATTTCAATGTTCCGGGGGGGCAGAGTTACTGTAGGAGGGCGAGGCTGCAGAAAGGCACTCTCTCATGTAGCTAAGGGACCATCTCATGGAAGGCATAAAATATCAAGAGAAGGACCATGAACTGGACTATTTAATTGAGAGTAAAGGCAGAAAGAAGAGTGTCAGAGGGAATGTTCACAGCAACTTCTCTTGCTAAGCAGACTGGCTGTTGCATTTTGTAATAGCTGGTGCTTTCTTGGTTTTATTCCTGGTTAGCAGATGCAGCAATCAAGACTGCAAGTCACAAATGCATGGATCAGACTGGCCCTGTCTGCAACTGCTAGGACGGGGTGCAATCTCCACTTAATGGGTCAGTAACCAGTTACAGGTTACAGTTGGATTTGTTTGCCACCCTGCCTATTTGGGCATCTAACAGCACTAAAAAGAGTTCAAAGGGTTTGCCTTCACTAGATAATTAGTCCATGTTAAAACTTGTGTTAACTCATGTGTGTAATGTGATTTTGTAGTCAGTATAGACAAGAACAAGTTGTGTTCAACATGTATCTTGTCATGGTTAAAAATGTGGTTTCAGTAGGATTTACTCACGATCATGTGATGTAATATTACACACTATTTGTTCCTGTCTACACAGAATGCAAAATCATGTTTAACATGCTAAGTTTACACAACTCCTCAAGGTCATATTCTAAGATGACCTAATTGTCCAGTGAAGGCAAGCCTTAAAAAGGATCTCAAGGCTGTATGCAGACTGACAATTTAAGGGCAAAGTGCATCACTTTGTGCATACCAGTACTTTATAGTATGGTAGTGTGCCAACGGACATCACAGCACAAATGCGCTAGGCACTACACATAAAAGTATCAAGACACAGTGCCAAACCAATGTGCAGACTTTGTTTTAAAATATCATGTACATTTATGACAATACGTTGTTTTAGTTACAATATACCATACACTAGCATTTATAATTTAATTTTGCTTTAGTTTAGTTTAGTTTATTATAACTAATCACAGTTTCAGGGGAGTTAAGTAATGAAATGGGTTGGTGCACCAGCCTTTTACCACTAAGCAAAGTTAAAATTCTACACTGAAACACCAGGGAACTGTTTCTTTCCTCATTCTTTCTTACACCTTTTTCCCCTCACAGCAGTCATCTCGCAATTATCATTCTCTGAGAACCAGACTAGATCAATTATTTATGGTTTCCATGGGCCAGGCCAGATATGTTGTTTACAAAGCTGCATAGTGACATTTGCACACATGCAACCCACATGATGCCTCGTTGAAATGATCCCCCCTTTCTGCATAAGACCTAAAATTTATCAACAAGAGTTTCCATCACTACCACACAAAAAAAGGAAGACTTATTCCCCACCCTTTAAAAATAATAGTTTACTAGCTTTCAGTACAATACAATTATAATGTAATAATCTGCATATAATATCAAAGTATCACAAAAGGACACAACTCAAGATCATTCATAAGATTAATTTAATCACTAAAGTGTATTGGTCTATTGGTAACTAATAAGAATACCACCAGGACTTCTGTAACCACAGTAGCCAGAGGTTAGAATTCCCTAGCTGACAGTGTTTAAACTTCACTTATCTCACTGAAAGTACAAGTGAAACAATTAGTTACAAAGTGCTCCAATAAACACTGATAATATTCACCCCCAAACTCCTCAAAAACCAAGAGTTTATCCAATAAAAAACAGAAAAACACTAGAAATGAGGGCTTGTATCTAAAGGCTTGTCTACACAAAGCAATAATGTGAACTGCGGGGGTATAATTTCTAAAGTGCACTAACATGCATGCATGCATCCATGCAGATCCAAGAGGTTCCCTAGTGCACTTTAACATGTACTGTTTCAAACAGCACTACATTAAAACACAGTAGGGAAAGATTAAAAAGCGACTACTATATAAGATATACTATTCAATACAAGATATAAAAAAATAAAACTCTGATATTTGGACATTATATAAAACTCAAATTCTAGAAATAAGCCCTGAAAAAATGAAATTAATAAACCACGAAAAACAGAATCTCTATTGTTCTGTCAAACAATTTCAGAAGTATGCAATGAAGATGCACAGTTTACAAAGATTTGATTAATATTCTGTCCATGAAAACAGAGTCAATGTGTATCAGTACTGCAATCTCTAATATACAAACCATGTGCAGTATTAAGTCTCATTCCCTCCTTCAGTACTATCAGATGAATGCTAGTCTCAATAATTCAAATCCAGTCTTGACCTCAAAGTCATGAAGGTGATCTTGGTGCATGACAGATGTGGCAGTTTCCTGAAACATCTTTGGGAGACCTTACTGAATTACTTTTAAGTGTCATTGGGGTACACAGTATTAAACGAATGGTTTATGTATTACTGTGAGCTGGGATTGCAAGTAACTTCTCTACGGGAAGATATGACAGATGAGAGACCTGGGGGTTCAGAGGACTATATTGAACAATGTGCCAGATAAGAATGGACTTTTTGGAACAAAAAGCATTAAGTGGGTTTCCTGGGGAATATATAAGGGAAGATGAATGAAAATTCCCCTCCCTCAGTTATGCAAAAACCCAGTCTTTTGAAGTTATACCTTGAAGAGCGAACCATTGTCTTCTGATCACCTGTTATGTGAGGCCAAGATCAAAGGCCCAAATTGTAAAAAAGAAAGACTGAACTACTCATGGTTGTTCAGGTTTTGAATCTGAGAGAGTTATAAACTTATAACCACAGGGAAAACTCAGCTGTGGGTTTTGTAGGACTGATACCTACCAGAGTCAGAGGTTGGAGTTGAGGTGACCTCTGGTAAGCTTTTTAGTATGCATGAAGGTTCTTTTATTATTTGAATGTTTTCTGTAATGCTTTCACCTTAAGAAGAAACATGCTTGCTTAGAAAGAGCAGTTTGGTAACCTGTAATTGTAGCAATTACAATGTTCATAGCTTCTAGAGAGAAAAAACAGCACAGACACTGGCCTTCTAGGCCGTCTGGCTTGCCAGAGATATCACACTGTAGACTAGGCAGGGAACTTTGCAACCTGGAAAGCCCCTGGTCGGGAGGGACACACACACAGGTCTTTGTCCAAGAGAGGTAAAAACTGAAGAGCTAGGAGCCCGAAGTGGGTTCCCTCAGGGGACCATGGATGGGGAATATAGGTGCAGTTGCTTTGAATTGTGACAATAAGATGCTACAGTGGTCATCCGTCTCCCTTCCACTGTATTGACAATTGGATAAAGACACCATTTCTGATTTATGAATCTGTCGTTTTGAATTTAGACTATTACACTATCAAAGAGGTTAAAAACAGATTCCCAACATTTTTCTGTGATTGCACAGTTTCAATTTTAAACCAACTATTGCCATAAATGCAAGTATGGGGTGTTTGTTTTTACACAGTATCATAGCATAACACGTACCTGGTAAAGTAAGGCAGATAAGACTGGCAATCAGTAATGTTATACACATGAAAACAATCAACAGAAATATCTGAAAGACAAAATACAAAGGGAGACAGTTAACAGAAAAACTGAAAGTTGCTTAACTGATTGTTAGCAAAACATTAAAGTATCAAAATATGCATCCATTTAGAAATCAGTAATCTAGATAGTAAATGCAACACATAAAATTTCTATTCCAGTTATTTTAGTTCAGATAGGAGAGCAGACAGTCAAACTTGCTGACTCATTATTCAGCTCCTCAATTATTAACAGGATTCTGTTGTCCGCACAGTCTCAGATATTTGCGTGTTTCCAGCTCCATTGGAAACCCTGATTTATTCACCAACCAAACTGCATAAAAATGAGCAGAGGTACTATGGAAAAAACAGTATTTAATTATGTCATCAAAATATTATAGTGCTAATACACAAGGCAGCAGAGCTAAAGATTCACAGGCAACCTTCAGAATTTCTCACCTTTTGACCCTTTCACTTCGATACGCTAATATTCTATGCTTTAGTTTGGGCATTTCTAGGTTTTTCTTGTTTTTAAAACAAAAATAAACAAAGTTCCATCTGCTACAACTATTTGGGGACAGGAGAAGAAGACCATCCTACACAGTATTCTGAGAGGCAAGGGCTCCTGTGCCTCCTTTGAAATGCATGGGTGTCACAGTTCCAGGGTTAATTGCACCTCTGTGGTCTGCTCCAAGACACCTCTTTAGGTCACTCTTGCGAAACTCAGAAGCCCCACACAATCTTATCTTCAGCTCTGCAGCAGAAAATCTCTGCTCCATACTATGGACCTGACAAGTTCTTTTACACTTGGCACCACTAAATGAGGCTGGCATAGGTTCGGTCTGCTCTAGTGGCAGCTCTGAACAGTTTAGACTCCTTCAACGCTCCCAATCCCTAACCAGCACCTGCACGAGAGGTTTACTCCCAGGGGCATAACTGACTTTTGCTTAACCTGGAATTTCAGCTACCACCAGGCTAGCTAACTTTGACGACCTGTAGATTAGTCTAGAAAGGCAAATTCACTGCATGTAAAAGTTCATAATAATAATCAAAAAGTCAAGGCAAGTAAATTAGTAAAAAATTCGACTTCTAAAATACATGCACCGCACTTCCAACATCTAACACTGACAAAACAATCTCATTAAATATTACCATAGGGGAAGAAAATACATTGGACGAGTAGTTGAGACACCACTTTTACAATTCCTCAGAACTAGTAGAGGTCCTTTTCATTATCTACTTGCCGCCTTTAAAATATATATATACACATGCACACGCACTCTCTTCTTTCCTATCTTTAATTTTTTAAACAACACTAGATAAACAAAGCTGAGCATTCATATTTCATCCTGGATCACAATATGTATGGAATCTGTAATAATTGGATGCATGAGGGGCTGGTTATATATGTTTCAAACTGAAGAAAAGTTATATTAAAGTCAACTACATGAGTATAAAGTAGGAAGACGTTTGCTAACAAAATAATACACAAAGTCCAAGATACTAAGTAAAGTATGGGGCCTTAATTATTTAGCTTCCAAAAATGATGCTATCACCAAATCTTCCTGAAAAGATATCCTATGTTCTTTTCTTTGTTTATATAACTGTAGTTCCTAGGAATCCTAGTGATGGACCAGGACCCCACTGTATTCTATGTTTGTACAGCACTAGCAAAGAGATGGTCCTCTTTTTAAAGGGTTAGATCTACCTACCCTGAGTGGGAATTTTAAAGGCCTATGGTAAGGCTGGAAACCCACAGGTCCTCCTTGCTGAAGTATGGCTTGATGGGCTGCATGAAGACCTTCTCCCACAACTGGAATGGCATTGTTATTGCGAGCATGCTGGTTATTAGGTTGCTGGTTTGCATTGTTCTCATTCTCTTCCTGGTCTCCAAGTAAGTAAGAATGGAGGTCCCTGTGGCAAAAAGCATGAAATGATTGTGTAATTTCCTCTGGATTTGTTACATGAACGAAAACCTAGAGAAAGCACACCACAGAGCTATATTCATCAGCATTTGTTTAATGAACAAGGTAAAAGGACTGATCACTGAAATATCATGAAGCAACACATAAAAAGCAGCATTTGGCAGGTTTCATTCTTTTTTCTGTAAGTGTTCTACCTGTTGTTTTTTAGATATGTTAGAACATACAAATCTTGGAAGAAAAACAATTTGGGTACAGGTTAAAAGAACCGTTGCAGCACAGCTACCAACTGAGTCATTCATCTGACTATTTAAAAACAATATTGGTTACAAAAATGTCATGAACAGAAGAGGAAAACTTTGTCAAAATCTCTGCTGGTGTAAACAGGCACAGCTCCACTGATGTAAGAGTTCTCACTTTTACTGGTATTATGTTGGCTGGAGATTGTTCCTTACATGGCTGGATTAAACAGGACAACATATCAACTCACATTGTGAAAAGTATCTTCAGCGTAATAACTGGGGAAGAGGCAACATTGTTTTTGTAAAGGGAAATCACGCCTTACCAATCTACTAAAATTCTTTGAGGGGGGTGAAACTGGGCCTCAGTGGGTCACAATTTGAGGATGCCAAATTCAGGACAAACGGCTGAGAAATAGGGCAAACAACCCAAAACTGGTGGTTATTCTTCCATAAGATATACCAAACCAGCAACAAAAGTAAACTTCTGTTTCACCAAACTGGCTAACAAGAAGCCATAAAAGCAGTTTCCTTAGGCATTCCAGTTCTTATTTCACCACCAAAAACACTGGATTTAGAGATGCGTGGTTCTCCACAACCCGTCTCATTAAATAAAAGGTTCTTCTTTCATACACCCAAGTCAATATATAACTCAGATCTTACCCAAAAATCACGCTGATACCAATCCTTTAGTATCTAAAATCTAAAAGTTTATTTATAAGAAAGAAAGAAAGAAAGAAAGGCGAGAGTTAAAATTGGTTAAAGGAATCAAATACATACAATAAATGCAACGTTCTTGGTTCAGGCTTGCAGCAGTGATGGAATAAACTGCTGGCTTAAGTTAAGTCTCTGGCTGCTTCCAAGTCATTGGAAGGTCCTCAGTCCATTGCTTAAAATACTTCCATTAGTATAAGTTTATATAGTCCAGAGGCCTGAGCAAGAAAGAGGCTGGAGCAGGATTGAGGCAAAATGGAGGCATTTTCAGGGCCTTTTATATCTTCTGCCATGTGGAGGGAATCCCACTGTTCTTACTGTGGAAAATTACAGTAACAAGATGGTGGTTGGAGTCACATGGACAAGTCACATGTCCATGCATTTCGCCTAGTCATTGCAGGAAGCCATTACCTATACTCCACACAGTACATTTGCAGGACAGTCCATTCAGTGTAGATGGGTGTCTCCCATTGTCCACTGTCAGTTAAGTGTTTCTTGATGAGCCACTTAATTTGAATAGTCCCTCCAAGATATCCTGGCTAATTACCTTGTGGGCATTACTGCAGGAGCAAACATTTGCAATCCAGGTATAGAGCCAATATTCATAACGTCAAATACAAAACTGATATATGCATGCAGATAGCATAATCATATTAAGCAAATCATAACCTTTCCATAGACATCTCACATGCCACATTTTGTACAAGATTTCTTGCAACTATGTAACAGTAGTTGCAACAATGATCTATATGGTCATATTTTAATTAGATAATGTCACAGGGGATCAACAAGCACGTGGACAAGGGGGATCCAGTGGATAAAGTGTACTTAGATTTTCAGAAAGCCTTTGACAAGGTCCCTCACCAAAGACTCTTAAGCAAAGTAAGCAGACATGGGATAAGAGGAAAGGTTCTCTCATGGTTTAGTAACTGGTTAAAAGACAGGAAACAAAGGGTAGGAATAAATGATCAGTTTTCAGAATGGAGAGAGTTGAATAGCTGTGTCCCCCAGGGGTCTGTACTGGGATCAGCCCTATTCAACTTATTCATAAAGGATCTGGGAAAAGGGGTAAACAGCGAGGTGGCAAAATTTGCAGACGATACAAAACTTCTCAAGATAGTTAAGTCCCAGGCAGACTGCAAAGAGCTACAAAAGGATCTCACAAAACTGTGACTGGGCAACCAAATGGCAGATGAAATTCAATGTTGATAAATGCAAAGTAATGCACATTGGAAAACAATCCCAACTATACATATAAAATGATGGGGTCTAAATTAGCTGTTACCACTCAAGAAAGAGATCTTGGAGTCATTGTGGATTGTTCTCTGAAAACATCCACTCAATGTGCAGGGGCAGTCAAAAAAGAAAACAGAACGTTGGGAATCGTTAAAAAAGGGATATATAATAAGACAGAAAATATCATATTGCCCCTATATAAATCCATGGTACACCCACATCTTAAATACTGTATGCAGATGTGGTCACCCCATCTCAAAAAAGATACATTGGAATTGGAAAAGGTTCAGGAAAGGGCAACAAAAATTATTAGGGGTATGGAACAGCTTCTGTATGAGGAGACATTAATAAAATTGGGACTCTTCAGCTTGAAAAAGAGACGACTAAGAGGGGATATGACAGAGGTCTATAAAATCCTGACTGGTGTGGAGAAAGTAAATAAGGAAGTATTATTTACTCCTTCTCATAACACAAGAACTAGGGGTCACCAAATGAAATTAATAGGCAGCAGGTTTAAAACAATCAAAAGGAAGTATTTTTTCAAACAATGCACAGTCAGTCCATGGAACTCTTTGCCAGAGGATGTTGTGAAGGCCAAGACTATAACAGAGTTCGAAAAAGAATTAGATAAGATCATGGAGGATAGGTCCATCAATGGCTATTAGCCAGGATAGGCAGGGATGATGTCTCTAACCTCTGTTTGCCAGGGTCACCTGGCATTGGTCACTGTCGGAAGACAGAATACTGGGCTAGATGGACCTTTGGTCTGACCCAGTATGGCCGTTCTTATGTTCTTAACCTTTGAACAGCAGTTTAGAATTTGTGAACAAAAGAAGTCACAGGTTCTAAAATGTTTTCCCTACAGGTATACATTTTCTTCTCTCCCTAATAAGTCTCAATGTTTAAAAAAAATCTACAAAACCCCTAAAAATTGTCCTCACAGCAGTCTGAGAGCATCAGTATCCAGTACCAGTGTACTTGCGTAGAGAGGGGCACCATCTCTGATATGCAATGTTATTAACTGGCAGGACTTTATGGGGGTCTGGTAAAATCAAATACCTATTACGTATGCTCAGAAGCAATTTTTCATTCCCCACCCCCAAATCTAGCAAGAACTCCTCCTCAAAGGACTACTTACATAAAGCTCCAAACTTCAGACAATTCCTCCATCAGAACGTAGATTTAAAAATGGTAATTAAGTTTTTTTCACCCTTGCTTAATTAAAAATGGCTGAAGGAATGTTTATTCAAGCCATCTCTACTGGTAACTGCAACAGTTGAAGATGCATAATAGTTCCCATTGTTATCCCCCCAACTTGGTTCTCATCTCCACCTCCCTCCGTCACCTACTTTCCATTGGTATTCATCTTTGGGGATGAGTTATCCATGTTTTGACTGTATCTGAAGGTCAATTTTTCTATTAAGTTGGAGCTAAATATCTCATTTGTTTTTCAGGCATGAAAAGCTGAAAAGATTATTGCAAAGAGGAAGAAAAGATCTCACTCTCCATCCCAATCTCAAACCTCCCTAAGAATAATTCAGTCAAGAAAAAACCTTCAAATTTGAAATATTATTAATGAGCAGTACAGGATTTGGGGAGTGCAAGTACACTTGTTTAAGTCAAATTATGAAACAGTCAAAAACTACTAAAACAGAACAGTTCCTTACCCTACAGTAACTGTGGTTCTTTGAGATGTTGTAGTCAGTATGGATTCTTAGGTGCACATGCATCATGTGTGCAAGCCCAGAATCTTTCGAATAGCAGAGTCCAGTGAGGAGACATGTGCCCTGAGCCTCCTTGAGCTTCTGTGTGAAGGCATAAAAAGGGGGAGCGGCAGCAATCCCAACTCAGTTCCCTTGCAATTCAAAGCCCATGAGTGACTGCTGAGGACTTGGAAAAGTGGGGATGAAGAATAGGTCATGGGATCCACACTGACTATAACAATTCAAACAACCACAATTATAGTAGAGTTAGTAACCACTCCTTCTTTGAGTGTTAGTCACTGCAGGTGACTGGCAAACAATATTGACTCAGGATGGTGGGAATGAGGAGTATCAGCTGCATCTTCAAAATGAAACAGCTTGGCTCTTGAGGCAGCCAACTGTGGCCACAAAAAGAAGAAAATCCTCTGTCGTCCCCACAGCTATGAACATAATATCATAGAACTCTAGGTTTGCCCAGAGTGCAGTTTCTTCTCCCCTCATGTGGAATGAGGTCTTGGGATGAACACAGGTTAGTTTAAATGGAACTTGGAAATCATCTTGGGAATTTGGTATGAGGTTTTAGTATCACCGTGTCTTTATGGAACCAAAAGTACAGCTGTTCCACCATGACTGTCTGAAGTTCGTTCACTCTCTGGGCCGAGGTCATCACTATCAAAAATCACCATTCTGAGAGTAAGCTGGTGAATGGAGAACTCCACAAGCTTTAGAAGGATGATGTTGCGGTCCCATACTAGAGCAGGTCCTCTGACCAGTGAGTAAGCATGCATTAGGCCCTTGACATATTTGGATACCATTAGGATGAGAGAAGACTGAGTCCAAAGGTATCAGTCCATGATATGCAGAGACTTCCACTAGATTAACTTTGACTGAGCTAAATGAACGTCCAGAATGTTTTAACTGCAGGAAGTAGCCCAGAATCTTCAGTATCAGGGCTTGCAATGGGTTTAGGCCACTCTGGGTTGGAGGAATAAGTCTCTCTTGCACAGTATTCTGCTCTACGTCAGGATTTCCTGATTTTCCACGGCACTCAACCAGTCAATATCCAGGTTATAAGGTGCTGCGACTTCAGGTCTGGATGGAATCCTTGACAGTTTGACCGTATGGGGTCTGCCGGATCAGGCCTTCCTTGTCTTGTTATGATTCAATTAAATTTCGACTCAATTGTGTATTGATCACTAGTGGAAGAAAAACACTTCTTTGGTCTGTACTAGTATCATCTCAGGGTATGTCTATGCAGCAGCTAGAGACTTGTGGCTGTCCCGTGCCACATGGTTTGAGCTGTGGGGCATTTTTTGTAACAGGCTCTTGGGAAAAGATCCCTGAAATAAGGAAGGGGGCAAGGTAGGAAACAAGGAAAGGAACTGGATGGGGTAGCCATAGACGATGATGATGAGCATTAATTCTTCATCTAATCTCTGACCACAACTGATGGAAGGGGGGAAAAGCGATTTCTGAAAGTTGGCTGCAGTATGGACTTGACACAACAGAGCTCTGAATACTCCTGTCAAACCTGCTGACTCTGAGAGGGGGCTTGGTGTACAATGGAGGACGACAACAGGCGCCTACTGGTGTAATGGGGTTCTTTCTGGGCAAATATTCTGGCTGACAATTGTGGGAATAAGATTGTGTTTTGTCTTTGTGGGAGCTGATCCCAGAAGGGCTTGCAGTATAGCGTGGGGTAGTACATCCCTAGAGATCTCAGAATTGCCTTCAAATCTTTGACAGAAAGGAGTGCTTGATCAGTCCAACTGCTAAAGAGCTTCATGCCCTGAAGGGTAGGTCCTCTCACATAACCTGGACTTCTTTTGGAATCCCAGACATTTATAACCAGGAGGAGCAGGGCATTTGGACTACTGTAGCTATGAATCAAGTGGTCATATCTGACTCATCCACTGTGGCTTGCAGCACTGTTCTTATTACTACTTGCCCCTTCCTTGATTGTAAGGAAGAGCTGAGACCATCCTATCTTGAAGGAGCCTCAATAGGAATGGGGTCACCCTCGCCCACATCAGAAAACTATTTTGCCAACAGGGCCAGTAGCTTCCTGTTAGGAACTGGAGGGAGGCCTGATGAGTAAGCCTTTTGGCCAAAGTAGTTCCGTTTCCTGGGAGTGAGGGGGGTGTCCTTATCTGTGGTGGATCTAGTCTTTTGCTGGACCACAGACACCGCAAGCGACTCTGGTGTCTGATGCTTAGAAGAAAGTTCAAAGCCTTTGGATGGAACTTGATAACACTTTTATACTCAGTTTGAAGAAGGGGAAAGCAAGGCTGAGGTGTGCCACAATCCTTTTGTTGGGTCCAATATACAATAATCTGCACAATCCCAGTTGGGACTGAGGATATTGAACAGAGAACAAACCTAAGATCATGGTCGTCTCAAAGTCCAAGATTTCAGCAAGCTATCCTCAAGAGCAGGTCTGGAAGGCTCTAAAGTTATTGATAGTTGGTGTTGGGTTGAGGCAACAGCCTCATCTGGAAAAGAGGAGGATTAGGTGGGGAGGGCAATTGGAGTGTTTCCTGAGCCATTACCTCACAAGGACACTTCTCTGGTCCTGTGACAGGGATCTGGCTATTGATGCCAGATGATGAGTGAGACCTTCTTTTCCCCAGACACATATGATAGGGCTCCACTCTGGGAAGGTGGGCCCAAACAGGGCCATAAAAGTAAATTGTACAATTATTGCCAGGATGTGATTGGCCTGTCCACTGTCAGCTTGCGTCAGTGCCTGATATGGGGCACTTCCAGAGCTCCCCTTAATGTACTATTCTGGTCCGGTCCCATGCTTGAAGTCAGGGAGGAGTGGCTTGGACGTGGCAAGGAGAAATACATCTCCAGGAACAGCAGTGCCATTAGATGTGGGACCAGTGCCGATTCTGCTGGTGTCAAAACAAGCAGCAACGGCAGTTCCTCAAAGGCGTATTGATATTGGGAAAGGCTCATTGTTGACATCAGCATCTCCTGAGTCTTTCACATCCCTCAACGCTAAGGAAGATTTGGAAGACCTGCCTTTGGAGGAATGCTATGGGTCCTTCTCATGGAATGAGCTTGCTGCATGCTGTGAGCTGTGCTTATGCATGGTGAGGGTATGGTGCTTGGCATCCAAAGTGGATGCCAGGTCTCTTTGCCCCAGAGTTGGTACTGATGCACATGGCACTGAAGGATCATGGTGCCAGTTCCAGTGGTCTTGGTCCCTTTTTAGATTTCTGCCTACTAGAACCAGAGGCATGGCGTCTGGTTACCAGAACTTACCGTAGATAGCCTCCTTGTCTCCAGCTTGGAGGATGTCTCTTCTCCAAGATCATATAAGACCTTTAAAGATTGAAATTAAGTCTCTTGAAGCAAACACACATCTCTCAGTTTTTAGATGTGCGACAAGAAATGGCAGATGAAGCACTTGTTGGGTGATGTGCTCTTCCAAGGCAGAAAAAACACCTGAGACCACTGATTAAGAACATATAACTGTTGCACAATGAACAAGATTTAAACCCCGTGGGTTTACAATAGGCCATACTGGCAGTCGGTGTGAAGTGCCTCGCCCTTCTGTATGGAGAGGCTGTGTAGCAGAGTCTCTTTGTACTTTTTTCTGCACACGAGCAATGAAAGAGAAGAAGTGAAATGGTATTTCTTCCCAAAAGGGTTGAGATTGAAGATAAAAAAACCTATAGCCCATAGGACACTGTCCAAGTTCCATCTCTGTCACGGGTGGCAAGAGAGAACTATGGGAGGGTCACAGCCACTCCAACTTTTATGCCCTCACACAGGAGGGTTTTCAGGAGTGGATTTATTTATACTTTTTGCATGGATTTAATAGCACCAGAGATGTACAGGTTAATTTTGCTCATATTTTCCAAAGAGTCTGTGGAAGAAGAAAGCAACAAAAATTTCATTCTGAAAAGATAAACATAATGGAAAGCAAAATATAGAAACAGGGACAACAGAAATTGCTATTCAGACTCAGCTACACCATTTTTTTGCCAAGCGAAAGTTGTATTAGTGCAGCAAATGTAATTAATTCGCAAAGGCATATTCTGAAGTTGCAGTGCATGTTCAAGGATTCGCTGTACAATAATTTGTTCTATACAAACGTTCGTGTATCTCTGCCATGCGCTCATTTATGCACCAAGTAATTCATAACGCTCCAGTTACGGTATCTAGCCAAAGAATAAATTTCTTCCACATTAAAAAGGTTAAAGTGACACAAGCCACATAACTGATACTGGCTGTTTACACTTACAGCAAGTACCCAGCCGTAACAGTCCATGCTCGTACAAGACCTTTCAACCACTGTCTCGTGTGTCCTTGTTCAAGCAGAGCTGGCAGCACCACCTGAAGCAAAAGCAGCTCCAGAGAAAGTTCACTCACTGGAGCATCACTAGAAACAATGGGACAGAACAAGAAGGCAAACACATAAGGACTATTCTCTAACATTTTATGAATTTCCTACAAACATTTTAACAAACCAAGACTATTATAACCAAATATCTGAACAAACTAACAGTAAAGGCTAAGCAGGTTTCCATCACAGGCAATTCTTAGACTTTAATAGCCAAGATTTTTTTTTTGCATATGTTTCTGAGCACTGGGGAAGAATTTAGTAGTGTTTAGGAATTTAATGTGAACAGAGAGTTTTATGAAAAGTCTTTAGGAAAGCTATCTTCCGTTATCTGAAAAGGCAAGGTTCAGATTTTGATTTGTTCCTTTTATAAGTTAAGAGCAGTATCACTGATAAGCCAAATTATTGTTTTAATTGAGAAACAGAGGAAAAATTTTGCACTGATATTTACTGATATGTACAACCATGGACATTCTTTCATTCCTGAAGTATTCCTAAAAACAGTGTAAAAACAAAAAAAAAATAGGGCTGTCAAGCACTTAAAAAAATTAATCATGCTTTAAAATTAATTGTGATTAATCGCGCTGTTAAACGATAATAGAATACCATTTATTTAAATATTTGTGGATGTTTACTACGTTTTCAAATATATTGATTTCAAATACATCACAGAATACAAAGTGTACAATGCTCACTTTATATTTATTTTTATAACAAATATTTGCACCGTAAAAAACAAGCAGTATTTTTCAATTGACCTAATATAAGTACTGTAGTGCAATCTCTTTATCATGAAAGTTGAACTTACAAATGTAGAATTATGTACAAAAAACCCCTGCATTCAAAAATAAAACAATGTAAAACTTTAGCGCCTGCAAGTCCACTCAGTCCTACTTCTTGTTCAGTCAATCGCTCAGCCAAACAAGTGTTTACATTTGCAGGAGATAATGCTGCCCAGAGGACGTGTCCATGCTGATGACGGGTTCTGCTTCACAGTGATCCAAAGCAGAGTGGACGATGCATGTTCACTTTTATCGTCTGAGTCAGATGCCACCAGCAGAAGGTTGATTTTCTTTTTGGTGGTTCAGGTTTTATAGTTTCTGCATCTGAGTGTTACTCTTTTAAGACTTCTGAAAGGATGCTCCATGCCTCATCCCTCTCAGATTTTGGACAGTACTTCAGATTCTTAAACCTTGGGTTGAGTGCTGTACCTATTTTTAGAAATCTCACATTGGTACCTTCTTTGCATTTTGTCAAAGCTGCTGTGAAAGTGTTCTTAAAACGAACGTGTGCTGGGACATCATCCGAGACTGCTATAACATAAAATATATGGCAGAATGTGGGTAAAACAGAACAGGAGACATACAATTCTCCCCCAAGGAGTTCAGTCATAAATGTAATTAACACTTTTTTTTTTTTTTTTAAACAAACATTATGAGCATGGAAGCTATCCTCTGGAATGGTGGCTGGAGCATGAAGGAACATACGAATGTTTAGCATATCTGGAATGTAAATACCTTGCAATGCTGGATACAAAAGTGCCATGCAAAAGCCTGTTCTCACTTTCAGGTGACATTATAAATAAGAAGCAGGCTCCATTATCTCCCGTAAATGTAAACAAACTTGTTTGTCTTAGCGATTGGCTGAACAAGAAGTAGGACTGAATGGACTTGCAGGCTCTAAAGTTTTACGTAACTGCATTCAAAAACAAAACAATGTAACAAAAAAAATCTACATTTGCAAGTTACACTTTCAGGATTAAGAGACTGCATTACAGTACTTGTATGAGCTGAATTGAAAAATACGATTTCCTTTGTTTATCATTTTTACAGTGCAAATATTTGTAATAAAATAATATAAAATGAGCAGCGTACACTTTGTATTCTGTGTTGTAATAGAAATCAATATATTTGAAAATGAAGAAAAACATCAAAAAATATTTAATACATTTTAATTGGTATTCTATTGTTTAACAGTGTGATTAATTTGTGAGTTAACTGCAATTTATCGACAGCCCTAACACACAGCCCACAGCATAATGATAACCTATGGGGTAAAATTAATAATTTGTTCAACTTCTACATGCCTGAATCACTGTGGAAAATCAATGCATAAAAAGGCAAACTTTTTATTTGTCAAAAATGTACTATTGTACTTGGCATACTCTGACATTTAACTTTGCTAGAGCCGATTAAAATTTGTGTTATGTTGTTCATTTTCAACAAACATACCAAATGCAATGTCAAAGTAATGGTGAAAATGGTACAATTATGCCATGTCTACACTAGCACTTATGTTGGCAAAACTTTTATCGCTCAGGGGTGTGAAAAAACCCTGAGACACATAAGTTTTGCCAGCGTAAGCGCTCTCCAGCCGACACAGCTACTGCCACTCGTTGAGCTGTTTTATTATGTCAATGGGCACAACACGCTGCTACATGAGCACTCTTATAGAGGCACAGTTGTACTGGTACAGCTGTGCTGCTGTAAACTTGTAAGTGTAGACATGGCCTTAGAGAGGTACACAATGAGGATTCTGTCTAATCACAGGGAGACCAAAAACATCTTTCAGAACGACAATAAAAACTTACCTGTAGAGCATGACATTATATGGAAGAAAATTAGGCAACAGATACTTAATAATACGTATAGGAAGCCAAAGCATGAGCAGGACAATTGACCCAAAGACGATCTGCAACAAGAAAATTACAAATGCATATTGTATCTACAAAACTCACGAGGCCTTATTTTTATATGGATGGGCCAACGAAGATGTATACCATCTCCAAAGGTTTTGAATGAAAAAATTGTATGAACAAAGGTTCATGATTAAATTAAAACCTGTTCCTCTCAAATTTTTGTAGTCTATGTTCCATAAAAGGAAATAAATGTGTAAACTAGAAGAGAAAGTTGTTTAATCTCTGAATATATAAGCTGTAACTGACCATCATTCATGGGGCCCAAGTTCCCACTGTGAGTCTGATGAAGGTTCTGAAATCATTACAATTCATGCCTTCAGAGAATGATAATTAGCCAAGCGCTTCATTTCTTGATTCAAAAGGCAAAAACCAATTCCATTACATTCTGCTAACCCATGCATTTGAGACCTTTAAAAAGAACTATATGTTGGATTAAGTTTGGGTCATTTTACGTGGCACATACATCCCTGATGCAGCCAAAGCAGTGTGGTTATAAGATGACAAAACGGAAATACATCCTGCTATTTTCTGGAGTCCTGAGCATGACTGACCAGCACTCCTCTCTTTAGCTTAAGTTAGCAGGAGATGGCAGGGAGAAGGTCTTACCCTCAGAGCATATGCTGCGCACCACTAGGGTGATCCAACAAGGTACAGAGGATGTTGATGTGTTAACAGTATATCAACATCACAGTATCCCATACAGCAGTCTGTTTCAAAGGTATGCAGTCTTCAGGGCCTGTATTTGCAAAACCTGTGCCAAAGCAGGCCATCTGAGATTTTGCCTTAAAGGCCTTCCAGACAGACATCAGGTTGAACATCTGGAAAATGCTTGGGGAGGACAGGAAAGACTGTACATGTTTCCCCAGGAATTCAACAGCCTGCAGCTACATCTTGTAGTAGATACCACTGCCCAGGCTGTCATGGTCCACCCCAAGACAGACCAGAAACATGAATGAGACCTATCTCTACTGATCTGGTTGAGCTGGGACCCAGAATGTTTGTTGCAATAAATGGCTTAGACCAGCACCGTGACCTCAAGGGATCTCCTCCACCATCCACAGTAATAAAGTAACTGTTGGCTAGTGATACAAGCAGTCATTGTGGTTTTTGCAGAAGGGGAAGATTTTGATTGTCTGTGCTAGACCCAAAAATTTTAAAACTTTTACAACTAACACCTCTGAAGAAGTAAACTTCAGTTTTATTTTAGTAACTAAAGAATGAACACACATCAAAAAAGAAAGTTAAACATGCTAATATTCAAAACATCAAAGAGGCTAGCACTGTATTTGCAACAACAAGAAAGAAATGAATATAAATTATTCAAGTACAAGTCTGAAAAAAGTCCTTACCACTGATAAAATAAACCTCCTGAGATGTCTATAGATTGGCAAGTGAATCATTTCCTGAACTGGATTAAAATCCGGATCATTCAAATTCCTCAGAAACCACAGTACACCAGGTCTCAGTACCTGAAACAGGTATTTAGATTTGTGTTTTAAAAGACAAAAATGCAAGCAACGTAAGAATTATTAGCATGTTGTCTAATTAACAGAGTTAGATTTCTGTTGGAAAAAAGGTGTTAGAAGGAACTAGGCTGTGAGATATAAATATGAAGAACTTTTCAATACAAGAGTCAACAATGAGAGGTTCAGAGCATTACTTCTAGGCCACAGCGGAAACATTTTAACTAAAAATCTTTACTTTCAAATACATTTCAGTTTACAGATACTAAGAAGTATTTAAACAAAAGCAGCATCCATATTAAAAAATCCCTTGCATGCAATCGGCTAGCATCCTAAGGGTGTTCCCACATTCACTTGTAGCCAGCATGATTGTTCAATTTTTAAGGCAGAAAAATTTTGAAGTCTAATATGTATTAAAAGCATCATAACAGAAACACACAGATGGGGAAGAGCTAATGAACTCTTCAGTGCATAAAGTTGTTCAAATATATTTTATAATCCCCTCACCTGAATAAGAACTTACCTCTCTCAGTAAGAGAATGAAAGATGCAAAGTAAAAGACGTAAACCATTCCCACTAACCAGTGTAGGAACATTGTGGTACCAGGGGCAGACTGAAAGCTCAACTCTCTGTCTTTCAAAGTAGCATCAAACATTTCCTATACAAAAAAGTACATAGGATCAACAAAGTTTACCAAATACTCTTTCTTGGTTACCCATTTAATTTACCCCAATTTGTATCTAGCAAATAGGGTTAAATTGGATTATATACTACATTTAAATAATCTCAACCTGTTGCAAAACTATAAATATTTACAGGAGCATTCAATAAAACAAAAACGTCTATTTAAGTCATAAGTTCCTTCTGCCACTGAAAACTACACAGTTCTTACAACATACTTATAGCACTGACGCGGGAGATGGCAAATAGTGACAAATTTCTCTGCTCCACATAGTTTTAAGAATGGGAAGGAAACTAAAACAAGGAAAACACTAACGTTTAATATGTAACATTACAAAGCATATTAGCATGAGCATATCAGCTCATACTAAACTGTACTGTACATTTATTCTCATTAGAAATAGGGTATCTTATTAATGCAGAGAGCAAAAATGGTTGCTTTTTCTCATATAAGCATTTAATAGTAATCTCCTATATTAGCTTTTGGGGAAGTGACATTTTAAAAGTTATGATAATTTCCCCTTCCTTTCCCCCGCTCTCCCTAGACCAAAGGTCCTCAACCTTTTTCTTTGTGAGTCTCTGTCAAGGTTCCTCCCCCACTCTGAACTCTAGGGTACAGATGTGGGGGCCTGCATGAAAAACCTCCTAAGCTTATCTTTACCAGCTTAGGTCAAAACTTCCCCAAGGTACAAAATATTCCACCCGTTGTCCTTGGACTGGCCGCTACCACCACCAAACTAATACTGGTTACTGGGGAAGAGCTGTTTGGACGCGTCCTTCCCCGCAAAATACTTCCCAAAACCTTGCACCCCACTTCCTGGACAAGGTTTGGTAAAAAGCCTCACCAGTTTGCCTAGGTGACTACAGACCCAGACCCTTGGATCTTAAGAACAATGAACAATCCTCCCAACACTTGCACCCCCCCTTTCCTGGGAAATGTTGGATAAAAAGCCTCACCAATTTGCATAGGTGACCACAGACCCAAACCCTTGGATCTGAGAACAATGAAAAAGCATTCAGTTTTCTTACAAGAAGACTTTTAATAAAAATAGGAGTAAATAGAAATAAAGAAATCCCCCCCTGTAAAATCAGGATGGTAGATATCTTACAGGGTAATTAGCTTCAAAAACATAGAGAACCCCTCTAGGCAAGACTTTAAGTTACAACAAAGATACACAGACAGAAATAGTTATTCTATTCAGCACAATTCTTTTCTCAGCCATTTAAAGAAATCATAATCTAACACATACCTAGCTAGATTACTTACTAAAAGTTCTAAGACTCCATTCCTGGTCTATCCCCGGCAGAAACCCCGCATATAGACAGACACACAGACCCTTTGTTTCTCTCCCTCCTCCCAGCTTTTGAAAGTATCTTGTCTCCTCATTGGTCATTTTGGTCAGGTGCCAGCGAGGTTACCTTTAGCTTCTTAACCCTTTACAGGTGAGAGGAGCTTTCCCCTGGCCAGGAGGGATTTCAAAGGGGTTTACCCTTCCCTTTATATTTATGACAGTCTCCCTCCCCCCAACATGCTATAAAAAGTCCACCTGTGCCACAAAAACTGGTTTTCTGCATATCTAGTACATTAAAAGCCACTGGCATTCAGGGGTAGCACGCAGGGCAGTTGCCCAGGGCTTCACGGCACTGGAAGACCCATGAAGCTAAGCTGCTCAGGCTTTGGCTTCAGCCCCAGGTGATGGGGCTCAAGCTTGGCTTTCTGCCCTGGGCCCCAGCAAGTCTAATGCCGGCCCCTCTCTAGTTTATTTTGGTGGACCCCCTGAAACCTGCTCACGGGCCCCCAGGGGGTCACAGATCCCTGGCTGAGAACCACTGCCCTGGACTACAATAAAAATAGTGTCTTTCATATGGCATTCAATACACAGAAGGAAAAATTCATAGCAATGCCATAAGATGAACCATGCATGAATTTCCCCATAATAGCCAAATAAAGAAAAAACTCAGTCATGGAGTTGCCGGTAAGATATTTAGCATACCAGAGAAGTTAGTTACAAAACACTGTGAAAAGTAACTGTTCCAAAAAGTTTAATGATGGGGGTTTTTTTTACTCTGTTTTAAACATAGATTGTAGACTTTAATTGCCTTAAATACAGGAACATGGACATTGTATTGCACCACGCCTTAGGACAAACTACCTTTGATCTCTGAAACAATGAAAGTATAAATAAAAAAAAAGTGAAGAGATGCATTTTCTGCAAGTCCAGTTTATATCAATTTTTTTTTCTCCAGGGCAAAAGAACTTTCCCCTCAGAAAACAACAACAGTGTAAGACTTGGCCTACATTCCAATAATTTTTGTTCTTACCAAGGAGCATATATCCAGCCACCAGCCACAGATAAGGGGGAACACACCAATTTCTACAACCACTAATAAGGAAACCTTCAGGGAAAAGGAAAAAAAAATTACTCAGTAACTAGGAATAAATCTCTAATGAAATTACAGTTGAATATCTTTTGCTTTCAGAAGACTATAATTACCTTAACAACAATATAGCAGACTCCCAATAAGCGACGTGATCTCTGGAATTTTACAAGCGCTGCCAAACCCTACATACTCTGGTCAAGGAAATATACTAAATGAAATGTTGTAACAGGACCAGAAGAGTTATGATACAATTCATATGAGCAACTGTACAATCTATCTTTTATAGCAGGAAATTCTGGAAGAGTCAAGCACTAATGTGAAACTGTGAATACTATTGTTGGGGTTCTAATCTTTCAAAAGTGACAATGATTTTGGGTGCCTAATTTGAAACACCTTAAAGGGACCTGCTTGTCAAAGTGCTAAGCACCCATCCTCTGAAAATCAAGCCCTCTTTCAAAGCATCTGAAGCTGGGGACTGAAAATTGAGATGCCAGAAATCACTTTAGAAAAAAATGTATGCAGGAATATTTACCAAGAGTTTAACAATGCAGCTACAACTCTAGAGGTCTAATGTAATATGCATTTTAATGGGGTCTGAGAGAAATTCTCATCTCTTCACAGCAAAGCTAGAGTGTGTGCGTGTTTGTTATTTTTTGGAAAATTTAGTCCCAGCATTTTAAAAGTATTTAGGTGTTGTGGTGCTCAGGATTGCAATGCGTACGTGATTTAGGAGCCTAAATATAATTTTTTAAAGGGATTTAGACACTTAGGAGCTTAAATTCTATTGACTGTCAAAAATGAGATTTAGACTCCTAAATCATTTACATGTTGCAACCCTAAGCACAACGCCTAAATATCTTTAAATTCCTGGATCACAGTCTCCTTTTAGTAGGCCAGAGGATCTCAAGAGAGACATGGCATCAAATATTTTACTATGTTTGTACAGTGCCTATCACAACAAGGCCCAACCTGACTGTGGCCTTTAAGTGCAACTGAAATATAAAGTGTTAAATAGCGAATAAATTTACTCCTTCAAACAGAAATCAATTTAATCTTTTTAAAGCATACACAGTTTTGTCTGTGACCAAGTCTCCTCAGACTTTCAAAACTTTAAGATAGTGGTAACAGTCACTTCAATCTCTCCAGCGCAGCACAGTGAACTGCTGCCCAAGAGCAATCCAAGTTGCACAAAGCTCAGAATGCTACTGGCCTGGTGCAGAAACCAAGGAAGACATACTAAGGGTATGTCTATACTGCAGTCAGGAGGTGTGACTGCAGCAAAGCTACCTCAAACAATAATAGCAGTGTTGTTATGGCAGCATGGATAACAGCACAGACTAGCCCTCCAACTATGTACCCAAAGGGTCAGATGGGCTTGTACTCTGGTGGCTAGCTCACGAGACCGTATTCACACTACTATTTCTAGCATGCTAGTTCAAGCAGAGGTAGCACGTCTGAATACCCACACTGGCTAAACATACCCTGAGAAGCTGCCTGAAATAGGAGAACTGATGTAGATGAGCTTCCCATCCCACGTGGCACAAATCCTAGTTATTATTCTGTATGCCTATTTCTATCTCTGCTGCAGCTGTGTAGCCCACAAGAAGCCTACACAAGGAGAGAAATGGATGGCTCCATACCTGTCTATTAGGCTAGATCACAAAAACTATAATTGCAAGCCTTACCAGATCACAGGGGCACTCTTACCCTCCCAATCATGACTTCATTTCCGCAAAGTTTTTAAGCACGTTTCTCAAGTTCAACGTTGAGTGCAGTCCCTAAAACTGCTGAAAATTCTTTCTGGACTATTATGGTGTATGGGAAACAAGGGACACCCTTTAGTATTTTAGTGGCTAGTGAAGAGAGCGGAAATATTTGTACCACATTTTCCCTTTTCTTTGGCTGACCGCCAGAAAGAGATCTGCCATTCAGGAAGAAAGCAATGCATTCCGTCTATGGCCTTGTGAAATTTTATCCTGATTAGCTGACAGGCAACTGGGGAAGAAGTTGATTCCATGTTAAGGCCTCTCCAGCGTCATTCCCATAAAACAGACTACTATATGGGGAAAACTGGGCTGAGTGAAGTCTCAAAGCTGTTATTGTTCTGAATACGCAACCTGTTTTGAAATTAGGTCTGGATGGTCAAATCCCTATTAAACAGATTTTATCCAAAATTTTACCCCAAACAGCCCTTTTTTCTTTGTTTCATCATAAGAACAAAGCGAAAAGAGAAAGAAAGTGCTCCTGCTTCATTTCTAATCCTGATCTCAACATGGCTAGAGATAATGATCCACAGACAGAATTTAAGACAGAGTCAGGCAACTACTTATGAAAGGATACATGACAAACAATTAGATTTATTGCTAGCAGCACATAGCCAACTATTGTTGTGATTAGGCCTTCAAAGTGAGATGCTTGAACCTGAAAAAGAAAAGAAAAGATATTTTAAACATTTTACATTCAATTTTAGTTATTCCTCAAAAAGTTCAGTCCTTTTTCAATATTAATGACAGAATCCACTTGGGCAGCTTGGATTTGGAACTACAAGATTCCTAGGCTGCTTTATACTACAACATGAATAGGACAAACAGTTAATCAATAAATTCTCTTTACTAATCATTTTGCATCCTCAACAAAAACGCGGAAAATAAGTTTGCATCCACTAGAAAAATCAAATAATGGCAAAGCTGCCAGCCTTGCAGGAGGAGCCGCCATATACCCTACTCCTTTTCCTGGCATTCACCAATAGTCATTTCTGAAGCATTACCCCACATGCAATCAAGGAACACCACAATAAAATATATTAGACTTTATAAAAATATAATATAAAAAGCCAAATTCAGTGACCTTACGAAGGGGGAGTCTTAGACAGGGATCACAATAATGAAGTCTGGGAGGAGGGTAAACAGTTAAAAGCAAAAAAAGGTCCTAGAATGAAGACGTGGACAACTTCCCACGCTGTTCTGTTGTCTTATAGAGTAAAACACAGAAATTTTAAGTTGCATAAATTTTTAAGAATTTAAAACATCAAAATTATAAAATAACCATACTTACATATTCCTCAAAACCCAGGCCAACAACAGAGAAGTGACCAATGTGGTAAGGACAAAAAGCTGGAAAAAATGAAGGGGAATGGGAAAAATGATAAAAATTGCTCTATCAAATGCAATGTGAAACTTATACTGAAAAGTCTCTGTTCTGTGGCGTGGCAATTGTTTGAATTTTCACCAGTTTTACAAAGTGGACAAAAAAATAACTATCCATCCAATATTGTTTTAAAGTTTCGTTATAAAACTTGACATTCTGTAGCACTCAAGATTAATAAATCACATTACAAACTTTTAAGGGGTAAGGTAGCTCAATACTCATTTCTCTGAATTTTTTTAACTTGCAATATTACAAGCAACCTATGATTACTATAACTGAAAAATGGGAACAATGATTTTGTTCCTTCTTCAGCTTTCATTTGATAGTGCTGAGTCAGCTTTATTTTCTAGTTTCATTCATTAGCTTGACAGAAGTCTTCTACACTGTTAAAGGAATCCGCCTGTATGCTCTTCCCCAACGACTACAGAAGAGTGGAGTTGCTCTTTCATAGATCAGTTGGATGTTACTTTCCCTTTTAGTAAACATAATTTAAGAATCTGACAATTGAAACTGAAGAATTTAAAGATTTGGGGATTGTCCAGAGAAACACAGTTCCTGCAGGTGTCTGGGAAGGAAGCAAAGAAGCAGATATATCAGGGGGAAGGTAAGACACACTCCAACAAAGGAGTCAGGAAGGGAAGCTTTTAAGAGGTTTGTCCTCTTTTCCCAGATCATTGAACCAAGGATGGTACCTCACTCACAATCCTAAAGATTCCTCCCACTCACTCCCAGAGTTTAGGAATCAAGCAGTCATGAAGGAGTCTTCTTTTCCACACTTGAACATCTGTATTGACTCATAAGTGGTTAGGTGCAGCAGGGTCAAGTATGCTCTCTTAGTCTCCCTCAGGTACCCTATTAGCGCTAGGAGAGAAAAGTCTGAAGCAGAAAAGATGGCAATGTTCCCCCTTGGCATCTCTTCTGGTGCTTTCTCCTAGCCCTCAAGGCAGAAAGGGGAAGCAAGAGCTGGAAGCTCTCATTCTCTACCTCTATCCGCTCCACAGTATCATGAAGAGAACTGGAGATTGCCTGCCTCTTAATCTGTTCCACATGACCACTTGGAAGATGGGGATGGGAGTCTTTAGTCCCTAGTCCTGTCTATGAGGTCAAAGAGCAGGAGCAGCATGCCTGGCAGAGACTCTTCACTTGTCCAAATCCCTTCCATCGAATCAATGGCAGTAGGTGATGGCAGTGAGGAAAGATAAGGGAAAGGTATGGACCGCTTCACTCCTCAGGATCTTTCAATGTGGCTTAGTGAGCATAAGAGGCTCCCTGTAAAGTCAGGGAGGAAAAAAATCTCCACTTCTCAGGATCTCTCCACAGCAAGAAGGAGAACACGCTGAGAGGAAGCTTCACTCTAGAAGCCTCTATAAAGTCAAAAGACTCAGATTTAGACCTGTTTAAGTTGCAAATAGCAGAAGGGGAGAGGAGAACCACCTTAAAAGTTGGGACCATGGCTCAGGTACAGGTTTTCAAAACTACTTTTAGTTTCTTTTTTTACTTTTTTTTTTTTTTTTTTAAAACAGACCCAATTTCTGCCTGACAGTCCCCCTGGAAACAAAGTGTGAACTCCTCACAATTCCCCTGTGAATATTCTAGTGATCTGCAAAGGGTGTATACTGAGTCAGAGTTTAAGTAACTTGTTCAAGAACACCCTGCAAGATAGTGGCAGGGTCAGAAATCAAATTCAGGAGTCCTGAGGATGAGGGTTCGATGGGCCTGCTTAACGGGGGAGCCCCAGCTGCTGCCAATGGGATGCTGCATTCCAGGCTCCCACTTCCCCCCACAATTGTCCTATCCTCTTTTCTTCCCCATCTCATCCCCCTCCCCCACTGCTCCATACCTCCTCCTCCCCTCACTCCTACATTCCTCTCCCACTGCCCTATTCCACCCCCATTTCTTCCCTACTGCCTCTTCCCCCCCACCCCCCTTCCCTCATTTCCCCCCACCCTCCTTACCCAGACCCACCGCCAGCACTCACTGTTGCACAGAAAACAGGAAGGCTTCAAGCACACAGATGGGGGCATGACTGGCACTAGGATACAGGAGGCAGCGTTCAGCTGCAGAGTCAGTGGAGCTGCAGCCTCCTTCAGCTGGGCAGCTCTGAGCTTGCAGAAATGAGGGTGGGCAGTGGCACGTAATGCCGTGTGCCCCCCCATGCCTCGCTGCTGTTTGAAGGGGCAATCCCCCCCCAAAACAGTGCCCATCGTCGTGTCCCCCCTTGCCCGGACGAGGCTTCCCTTTGCTTCCCTGCTGTTTTCGGCAGGGAAGCATAGGAATTCGGGGAAGGGGAGGGGGAGTTTTCTGCAGGCACTGCAGTCATGCAGAATCCCCCTAGGAGTAAGAGTTCAGGAGAAACATCATGCTAATGATGCAGGCTGATCATTTTACTGCCTGCCACTCATCTTCTCTGGAGGAGCCCTATATCCTCATCTTCCTTATCTGCCTGTGGCTAGTGGGTATCTAGTAATTTTTTTTTAAGCCCCCAAAATACAAATATTTTCACGTTAGGTGATTCCCAATATCTTGCACCAAAATATAACAAAGAGGCAAACAGTTTTTGAAACATTTAAGGATGCAAATCACTCTTTATCAGCAGTGTGAAAACAGAACAAAACAATATTATTCCACTGTACATGACTGTTACTGGAGTCTTCTGTGTTGCACCACTTACTGAGGTAAAAGCATGCAACATACCAAAACAAAGGCTTCTTTACAGATTATAGTGGTAAGGTCCAGACATAATATCCTTTCTATACTGCTAGGTTAATACAATAAAAGTCAGTCAATTGACAGAGTTAATTTTTCTCCACCAAAAAAGGGAGGCAGATAGTCGTTATAGAAGAGCCTATCATCTTTTAAAAAAACCACACCACACCATACATTTGTGCACTTCTAGCCAAACCTGCTCCATAGCAGCAATTCTGAGTGTACTGGTTTGGTGCAGGGCTGCTCTGGAGGAAGAAACCCTCCTCCCAGGTACAGGAGTACTCATATAGCTGCTCCAAGACTACTACTGCAGTCTCAAGACTACAGTATGTGCCATAGCTGCTGCTCCCCTCCTATCCAACTGGGGTATTTGTGGGTCCCTATGACAGCGAATTCATTGGTTCCTCTCACACTCTACCCCTAAAGCCCACCATAATACACATCTCCCACCAAAAATACAATAGTGTTCTGCCAATAATTTAATGAAGTGATCCCACAGATTTTCCTTCCATTAGCCTACGGAACCCCATGTATGATGTCCTTTAACAGAAAAGAGATGAGAGACTGAGGATTCTGTTCACTCGATCTTCCGTTTAAACAAAAATAATCTTAATAATAACTAAGGAGGAAAGCAACATCATTTAGAAAGCAAACAGATATTAAGGGCACACTACTGGAAATGTTAGTGTTTTATCCCATGTACACTGAATATACTGATAGAACAGCACAATCTTCAACTTGAATGGGGTTGAATAAAGCCCTTACTGAAAGTCACAGGATAGTCCTCCTGGAGACTTTTTTTTTTTTTTAAAACAATACATGACAACTGTGTGCAGCCTGTGGTGCTCCAAAGGAAAAATATATATATGCCCTTCAGAAATGATTTTATGAGCCTCAGAGACAAAAGATATCATTTGAAGGGTCATTTAGCAATATCTAGGGAAGAATGAAAGCAGGGAAATTATATCCCACCTGTCCCCACAATTTTTGGGGGAACTTCATAAAGTAACTCCCAGAAATTCCCTCCTGAATATTATTTCACAAATATATAGTTCTCAGCTCTAACTAATGGCAATAAAGCTTAGGCAACAGCTCAGACTTTTAAAAACCAAATCCAAAAAAATTACTTTCAGTAACAAAATAAAAAGGAAAAAATATCTGTCTTGGATGCAATACATGCCACCTTGGGAACTAAACTTACACAGTAAGATGCAAGCAATCCACTAAGGTCTGCTCATATCCATGTGTTTGCAGGGTCTGTGTAATACTATTAGTAAGAAAGGTTTATTATTCACATTTAATTATTCACTTTTTATTCTGGTTCAGTTTTTAAAAAAATGAGAGTCACTTTGTTTTTCTCTGAGAATAAAAGTGGTCTAAAAACTAATTTTTATCAAGCAGTCACGAAGAAAAAGCTAGTTTTGAAATAAGAACAAATAATAATACGTACCAAACACAAGTATGAACAGTGTGTTTAAAGACACCACCCAGAAGACATGTTCCTGGGGAAGGAAGTAAAACATTTTTCAGTAAAAGCAGAGTATAAAAACATATAAATCACATAATAAGCAAATAACTGCACCTGAGTTCTTAGGGTAAGAATGAATAATAATGAGCTAAGTTGCAAGCTTAGAATTTTCTAAATTTCAGCCCCAAAATGAAAGTGAATGTTGTGAGTAAAAATGGTGGCTATAATGGAAATTCTTTGTGGCTAGGGTTAGGAAGGGTGTTTTGCAGATAATCTACCCAGGTCTGTAAATATAAATGGCAAGAGTTATACTACTTTTTATGCTTACTTTAAAAGTACATAGAATTTGTATTTTCAGAAAAAGAGGAAAACTATTTCAGGTTTAATTTGCAAAGGGATTCTTGTTTCTTACTTTGGTTAATAATAGCAAGTGTTTGCTTGTGATTGCTATAGTTAAAGGGACACAGGTGGCTATATTTATGTTATAAACAAAACCTGTTTATCTAAGTTACTAATAACATGGTACTCTATTAACAGTGATTTTTAAAAAAAATTGAGTGTACTTCTCCGTCTGTTCTTTATGTACTACTTATATTTCTCTCAGCTAGGATAATGACAACCAGTGTAGTCAATTTCAGGTTTAGTGGTGCAATGCCTGGATTTTAAAAAGTGCAGAGGAATGCTTCTTGTTTAAAAACTGTTGTTTGGAATGTGGATGTTTGAGTTGAAACATTTTTACTGATCATAAAACAAAAACTTGTTTTTACAAAATCTAAACTTTGGGGCAACTTTAAGTTTACAACAGCTACTTAGGCCCTTTTGAAAATTGTACACTTATGGAGGACACACTACAGCGGTATCTGATTGCCAAAAAAATTAAAAAAATTAAATCATCCATGTGAATCAAGTTTATGATAAAGTAAGAAAAACTGTTTAAAGCAGAGATGGGCAAACTACGGCCTGTGGGACTGTCCTGCCCGGCCCCTGAGCTCCCAGACGGGGAGGCTAGCCCACGGCCCCTCCCCTGCTGTCCCGCCTCCCCCACAGCTATGCCACCACGCGGCTTGCACCTGCCCACCTCCCAGGCTTTCAAATAAGGCTGTCCTGCTGCTCTGAGCAGCATGGTAAGGGGGGTGGGGGGGGACGGGGGTTGGGTAAGGGGCAGGAGGTTCCCGGGGTAGTCAGGGGACAGTTGGATGGATTGGAGGTTCGGGGGGGGGGGAGGGGGAGGCAGGGCGGTCAGGAGACAGAGAGCAGGGGGGGTTGGATAGGGGGTGGGGTCCTGGGGGTTCAGGTGGTCCCAGGGGGGGGGGGGACAGGGAGCAGGGGGGGTTGGATGGGGGTGGAGGTTCTGAGGGGGGCAGTCAGGAGGTGGAAAGTGGGAGGGGGCGGATAGGGAGTGGGGGCCAGGCTGTTTATGGAGGCACAGCCTTCCCTTCCCGGCCCTCCATACCGTTTCACAACCCCGATATGGCACTCGGGCCAAAAAGTTTGCCCACCCCTGGTTTAAAGCTACCACATCGATACAACATTTGAAATCTGCTTCATACATTACAGAACAGACTTTTTATTTAAATCTACATAAAACAAGTTGTTAGTTTCCTTAAAAATAAGCCTGCTGAAAAACTATTCTTGAACTATAAGACTTCACTTACTAAAAAAACCAGAGATCCGTCAAGCCCAAGCATCTAAGAATAAAAGAAAGTTGAGTTCATTCACAGTTCTATATTCAAAAATCTTCATAGTCCCACAACCAGCTTCAAGGTCACCCTTTTTCAAACCCCTTTTTTACTGCCCTGGTTAGCTACATGCCTTATACTACTGGACAATCAGACCAACACAAGTTTTTAAACCTACAGTAAGGAACTCAAACTGTCTAGTTCAGTACTGTAAACGGACCTAATCAAAAGCAGTAATATTTTAATACACAATTGTTTAAATGTATAGTAGTTCATGTAAACCAAAGACAGTCTACAATTTAACTGATTATTTCAGAGAGAGACCTGTTTCAAGAATATGAATGGTGAAGATTTTAATTTAGCTCAGGAAATGAATCGTTTACCTATTTATAGCAGCCTCAGCATTTATCTAGTGATTTAACTGAATTTTAAATTCATATGAAATCTGAGGTCAGAGAAGTTGTATATCAAGATTTGTGTAAATATAATTTTGCTTTCTAGCTGCAGAGTATTACCCATGAAAGAATAAGAGCAGATGATATTCAATCAAGAGTATAATGGCGAAACAGCTCCCAGTTCTAGACCAGTCATATCTCATGCTGTTCAAGTCTGAAACAGGAAAGGGCTTGCAGATGAGAAAAATATCCTCTATTTAGTTGTACACTTGTTTCAGAACAAAACAAAACGGAAAAAACAAAACAAGGAAAAAGATTTTTAAAAGGTATTTTCTTTTCCTGCTCCTCTAAGATATTCTATGCCAGTCGAGACTTCATCACTTCAAGATTAATGGAATCGTTCATAGTTTGAGCCTCTCTTATATGTCAAATTTTAAGCTAATATTTCAAGGTCTCAGTTCTCAGATATTTCACTTAATAAACAACATCATGTAAACTACTTTTGAAATTTCAGATGAGCTTCCAAGCTCGTTACATTCAAGGGTGTCCCCATCAAGAAGGGACTATACTCAAAACGCACAGACTGGCACAGAAGATCTAAGCCCTGGTCTACACTACAGGGTTAGGTCGAATTTAGCTGCGTTAGGTCAATTTTAAAATGAATGTGTCTACACAACCAACCCCGTTCCATCAACCTAAAGGGCTGTTAAAATCAACTTCTGTACTCCTCCCTTGTGAGGGGAGTAGGGGAGTAGCGCTAAAATCGACCTTGCTGGGTTGAATCTGGGGCAGTGTGGATGCAAATCGACATTATTGGCCTCCAGGAGCTATCCCAGAGCACTCCAATGTGACCGCTCTGGACAGCACTTTCAATTCTGATGCACTAGCCAGATACACAGGAAAAGCCCCGGGAAATTTTGAATTTCATTTCCTGTTTGGTCAGCATGACGAGCTCAGCAGCACAGGTGACCATGCAGTCCCCCCAGAATCGCAAACGAGCGCCAGCATGGACCGAAAGGGGGACACTGGACCTGATTGCTGTATGGGGAGAAGAATCTGTGCAGGCAGAACTCTGATCAAAAAGAAGAAATGCTCATATATACACCAAAGTCACACAGGGCACTATGGACAGAGGCTACAACAGCGATGCAGCAGTGCCGCATGAAAGTCAAAGAACTGAGGCAAGCCTACCAAAAGACAAAGGAGGCAAACGGTCGCTCTGGGTCAGAGACCCATAACATGCCACTTCTATGATCAGCTGCACAGCATTCTAGGGGGAGACCCTACCAATACCCCACCAGTGTCTGTGGACACCTTCAAGGGGGAGTTGCACACAACACGGAGGAGGATTTTGTGGATGAGGAAGAGGAGGAGGAGGAGAATGCGCAGCAGGCAAGCGGTGAATCCGTTCTCCCCGGCAGCCGGGATCTTTTCATCACCCTGGAGCCAATACCCTCCCAAGGCGGGATCCCCGACCCTGAAGGCAGAGAAGGCACCTCTGGTGAGTGCACATCTGTAACTACTGTACAGGGTTTAAAAGCAATAGTGCTTAATGTGTTTTAATAGTGTTTAATGTTTGATTTGGGATGCATTTGCGGCCAGTACAGCTACCGGAAAAGTCTTAATGTGTCTGAGGATGGAGCGGGAATCCTCTAGGGACATCTCCATGAAGCTGTCCTGGAGGTACTTTGAAAGCCTTTGCAGAAGGTTTCTGAGGAGGGCTGCCTTATTTCATCCTCCACGATAGGACACTTTACTACACCAAGCCAGTAGCAAGTAGTCTAGAATCATTACAGCACAAAGCATGGCAGCGAATGGTCCTGGGTTTTGGTCACATTCAAGCAACATTCAGTCTTTATCTTTCTGTGTTAGCCTCAGGAGAGTGATATCATTCATGGTCACCTGGTTGAAATAGGGGAATTTTTGTAAGGGAACAGTAAAAGGACCCCATCCATGCTGGGTTGTTTGCGCTTGGCTAAAAGGGATTATCCCATAGCCATGCGATGGCTGGAGGGGTGAAAGGATCATCCCAAATAGCCACGCGGAGGGGTGGGGGAGGTGTGTGCTACACATCCACCCAAAAACTGCAGCCCCTCCTTTTAAATGGCAAACCCAACCAGTATTGCTTGCTATGGGAAAGGATGGCGCTGCAGTTTGAAACCATTCCCAAATGTTATGAAGGCATAAGAAGCCAACCCCACATACCAAAAGGCTTACCATGGCTGCCTGGAAACCGAATTCTATTGCCCAGCCGTGTGTGATGTGTCACCATACTGGCAGGTGCTCAATATAAAAGGCAAAATGAGACCTTGTACCTAAAGCACATGTGCTGTCTGCTGTGAATTGCTTGATTCACTGTGAAAGAGTCTCCCTTTTGTTCTCAGAAATGTATCATCTTAAATTTTACTCTCCCTTTTTATCCCCCTGCAGATGCAAATGTTTCTATGCTCCCCCTATCATCTCTGTCCCTGAAGTTACTGCAGATTAGAAGGCCAAGAAAAAAAGACAAAAAACCAAAAAAACCCCCCGCACTCGCGATGACATGTTTTCCAAGCTCATGCAGTCCTCCTGCACTGATACGGCACAGCTGAATGCATGGAGGCATTCAGTGGCAGAATCCAGGAAAGCATTAAGTGAGCGCGATCAGAAGAGGCAGGATGCAATGCTGAGGCTAATGGGGGAGCAAATGGACATGCTCAGGTGTCTAGTGGAGCTGCAGGAAAGCCAACAAGAGCACAGACTGCCGCTGCATCCACTGTACAACTGCCTGCCCTCCTCCTTCTCACCCAGACACCCAAGAACGCGGAAGGGGGAGAAGGCTCTGGGCACCCAGCCACTCCACTCCAGGGGATTGCCCAAGCAACAGAAGGCTGTCATTCAAGCAGTTTTGATTTGTAGTGTGGCTACAATAAGCAATGTGGCCTTGTCCTTCCCTCCTCCCACACCCCATCCTACCCCACCCAGGCTACCTTATCAGTTATCTCCCTTTTTTTTTTTAATTAATAAAGAAAGAATGCATGGTTTCAAAATAATAGTGACTTTATTTCTTTGCCAGCTGTGATCGAAGGTGGGAGGGTGGCTGACTTACAGGGAATTAAAATCAACAAAGGGGGTGGGTTTGCAGCAAAGAAAACACACACAACTGTCACAACATAGCCTGACTAGTCATGAAACTGGTTTTCAAAGCCTCTCTGATGCGCAGTGCGTCTACCTCTGCTCTTCTAATAGCCCAGGTGTCTGGCTGTTGAAAATTGGCAGCCAGGCAATTTGCCTCAACCTCCCACCCTGCCATAAACGTCTCCCCTTTACTCTCACAGATATTATGAAGCAGACAGCAAGCAGCAATAACAATGGGAATATTGGTTGCGCTGAGATCTAACCTAGTCAGCAAACAGTGCCAGTGAGCTTTTAAACGTCCAAAGGCACATTCTACCACCATTCTGCACTTGCTCAGCCTATAGTTGAACTGCTCCTTACTACTGTCCAGGCTGCCTGTGTATGACTTTATGAGCCTTGGGAGCAAGGCGTAGGCTGGGTCTCCAAGGATAACTATTGGCATTTCAACATCCCCAATGGTAATTTTCTGGTCTAGGAAGTAAGTCCCTTCTTGCAGTTGCTCAAACGGCCCGGAGTTCCTAAAGATGTGAGCGTCATGCACCTTTCCCGGACATCCCACGTTGGCGTTGGTGAAACATCCCTTGTGTTCCACCAGTGCTTGCAGCACCAATAAGAAGTACCCCTTGAGGTTTATGTACTGGCTACCAAGATGGTCAGGTGCCAAGATAGGGATATGCGTTCCGTCTATTGCCCCACCACTGTTAGGAAATCCCATTGCAGCAAAGCCATCCACTATGACCTGCACATTTCCCAGAGTCACTACCCTTGACAACAGAATGTCAGTGATTGCACTGGCTACTTGGATCACAGCAGTCCCCACAGTAGATTTGCCCACTCCAAATTGATTCCTGACTGACCGGTAGCAGTCAGGTGTTGCAAGCTTCCACAGGGCTATCGCCACTCGCTTCTCAACTGTCAGGGCAGCTCTCATCTTGTTATTCCTGTGCTACAGGGCAGGGGAAAGCAACTCACAGAGTGCCAGGAAAGTGGCCTTATGCATGCGAAAGTTTCGTAGCCACTGGGAATCATCCCATACCTGAACACTATGCGGTCCCACCAGTTTGTGCTTGTTTGCCGGGCCCAGAATCAGCGTTCCAGTGTATCAACCAGCCCCACTGCCGCCATGATGTCCCAATTGCCAAAACCCATGCTTTCAGGAAGGTCTGTGTCCATGTCCTCCTCACAATCATCCTCGTGCTGCTGTCTCTTAGCCAGGTTCTGCACTTACTACAGTATAATGCGCGAGATGTTTACAATGCTCGCAACAGCAGTGGTGAGCTGAGCGGGCTCCATGCTTGCACAGGTAACCCAGGAAAGAAGGCGCAAAATGATTGTCTGCAGTTGCTTTCACAAAGGGAGGGAAGGAAGGAGGGGAGACTGACGACATGTACCCAAAACCACCCGCGACAATGTTTTTGCCTCATCAGGCATTGGGGGCTTAACCCCGAATTCCAATGGGCAGCGGAGACTGCGGGAACTGTGGGATAGCTTCCCAAAGTGCACTGCTCTGCGAGTTGATGCCAGCCACGGTAGTGAGGACACACTCCGCCGATTTAATGCGCTTAGTGGGGACACACACAATCGACAGTATAAAATTTATTTCTAAAAATTTACTTCTATAAAATCGACCTAATTTCGTAGCGCAGACATACCCTAAGAGAGGTTTCTGAGACCACTGCATTTAAACTGCCGAAGACAATGCACGTATCCAATGTATGTAAAATGCTGAAGACAATGTACATATTCATGAAAAGTTCTGAAAATAATTAAAATATTTTTCAAGTACGCAAGATAGTTCTGGAATATGTATATAACACTAGAAAAAGTGAGCATAATGTTTATGCTGAAAACAAAGAGCTAATTACTCCTTTCAGGGAAGTCCAATAGGTAAGAAAGGGTCAGAAATTTGAGTTTATATTGAGTCCTTTTCACCAAATGTCTTTTAAACAAGACAATGCAGATAGCATTCTGTATTGTTAACAGAGGACCTTTTCCATCTCCTTATTGTTCATGCTACAGATTGCAAGAAAGTTTTAGTTACAGAATTTGTAAACTAGAAAACAAAATGAGATAAGCCTATATTGGAAATCATTCTTGATCATATTCTTGTTTGTTTTTATAAAAGTGTATACTTATTTTTACTCTATCTATACATACACTCACAGAAAGATTAGTTTTTAAGCTATGCACCATTTAACATCTACTGGCACATTTAGGAGCGAAACTGAAGATCTCAGAAGAGTGCCTTGTTGAAAGATGTTCTTAACTATGTTTCTTCACAGCAATCAAGGAAATGCTTTTTTAAATTGTTCCTTAATATGGTATACAGTATTTTTAACATAATTACTTTTTGGAGTCACTAATATCTATCACCGTCAAATTTTACATGAAATCAAAGTATCAGAACCAATTTTCCATTAGGTTTAAAGTAATTTCAAATATAAGTCAGTGACTGAGAAAGCTCAGAATACTTCAGGAGAATGGCTCTTACTCACTCTCTCCCATGTAAGCTCTTCTGCTGCTCGATCCCATTCCAAAGCATTCCAATTCATGTCATCTGCGGGGATATTATAATTGTTAAAGCTATCAACTGACCCAAAGCAGCACATTAGTAAGAGCTGTATTATGATTTAAACTAGCAAAAACACCAACTGCATACCATTTAGCTCACTCAGTATGTCAGATGGGGATACAAGTCAAAAGAACATTTTAAAAGTAATTATTCTCTTTACAGTTTAATTTCTCCTCAAAAGTTAAACCAAATATTTCCTTATTGCCATTTGCCTTTTGACAACAGAAGCAGAGTAGTTTCTTATTGTAGGGATACCTGAAACCACAGAGCTGCTTATAGTTTTGGCTTTTCTTAACTGCAAAGTGTTTCAGTGCTCATTAAAAAATAAACTACATAAACATTGCAACACACACAAGAAGAGGTAAGCAGGCTGAACTGAGCCTACTCTCCTTGGTAGTTTCCCTATGTATGTTATTTACCAATTTAGATGTCAGCCAGGAAAAAGTATAATTTCCATTTTCACTTCTTTTCAATAACTATTTTATATGAAAATTTTAGGGAAATGCTCCTACTCTGTGTCACCTGTTACCTTGGGCTCCATTGTTTGCATCTGCTGCATCTTCTACTACAGCATCTTCTTCATCTTCATTGTCTTCCTCTTCCTCATCTCCCGGTTCTTCCTGAATTTCTGGGTTTTCGCCGACAACTGCATTCTCAGCAGGTGGGTTAGCAGGTTGATCAAGTGCAGCATTTTCACCTCCACCATTTCCTAACCCCTGAGCCTGCAGGGACAAGATTTCAGTGCAATTTTACTTAAAGTATTGTTGTGCTTTGATCAATGTCCAGAAAAACAAACATGTTAAAAGCCAATTTTTTTGGTTCCACTTAAATCATAAAACACAAGCCATTGCTTTTGGCAATGACATACCTCCTAAAATGTTGACAGTATCGCTATCTTATTGGACTTCTAGAGGTTCAATTTAGTGATGTGTAAGAAAGATACATTATTGAAGAACACTGTCAAGTTAAAGAACCATACTTTTGTGTTAAAATTTTGTATCTATATAGTTACAATTGATACTTATGAAAAAGTTGGGGAAAGTCTTTTTTTTAGTTTGTGCATTTGACAGAAATCTGTGAATAGCCAATTTCTCTCCTGATGAATATCAATCTCTCCTTATGATCATCAATAGTTATGGAGAAAAAAATGAAATCTAAAAATAAAATAAATAATTCAGAACATACTGTTTAAAAGGGATTCTAGCACAGAGGACTCAAACTTTACCAAAGTACTGAACACAGCTTTAAGAGATGTTCTCAGAAACAACTCTGTTGAAGTGGAAGTATTATTAGGAAAATATATTGTTAGTTTCTTTAATGTAATTGAAGGCTGGAAAGGAGACAAGGAGACATGACAAGCCAGCTCTCTCTAGATGACCAGTAAGTGTTCCACTGACCACCCAGTTGTCCACAGACCAGTGAAAACTTTTGTTCTATCAGAAACAAATATTTTTCAGGTAGTCATTTTAAAAAAAAATGACCTGACCATAACACTTCAAACTTGCTTTATCATAGTTACAAATTCAACTTCACAAGCACTACATCCTATTTTAAAAAAGACTTAATATATTATACATAGAAGGTCATAAGAACCAAGATAGCTAGAAAATTATTTACTGCATAATCACAGTAAACATTACTGTAAGATTCTACATTTTATAATGGTTCAGGAATGTATATTGCACACATTACAGCTGAGATCACATTACCCTGGTGAATTTACATAGGACTAAGTATCAGAGGGGTAGCTGTGTTAGTCTGTATCCACAAAAACAACAAGGAGGCTGGTGGCACCTTAAAGACTAACAGATTTATTTGGGCATAAGCATTCATGGCTAAAAAACCCCACTTCTTCAGATGCATGGAGTGAAAATTACAGATACAGGCATAAATATACTGGCACATGAAGAGAAGGGAGTTACCTTACAAGCGGAGAACCAGTGTTGACAAGGCCATTTCAGTCAGGGTGGATGTGGTCCACTCACAATAATTGATGAGGAGGTGTCAATACTAAGGGGAAATTGCTTTTGTAGTGAGCCAGCCACTCCCAGTCCCTATTCAAGCCCAAATTAATGGTGTTAAATTTGCAAATGAATTGTAGCTCTGCAGTTTCTCTCTGACTTTTTTTGAAGGATAGCTACTTTTAAATCTGTTATTGAATGTCCAGGGAGATTGAAGTGTTCTCCTACTGGCTCCTACTCACACAGATACAGACAGACATCTTCCTCTCCAAGTGCAAACAGATGGACATCATACCAAATGGACTGAAGGTAAAAAATCCATTGCAATCGACATACTACATCATGAACAGGTAGCTGCCAGGCAACTCTCCAACACGACATTCCACAGGCCACTATCCTCCAATCCCACTGAGAAAAGAAACTACATCATCTGCTCAAGAAACTCCCTGCTATACACTGGAACAAATCTACACAGACATACCCCTAGAGCCCAGTCCAGGGGTATTCTATCTGCTACCCAAGATCCATAAATCTGAAAATCCTGGGCGCCCCATCATCTCAGGCATTGGCACTCTTACAGCAGGATTATCTGGCTATTTGGACTTTCTCCTCAGACCCTACGCTACCAGCACTCCTAGCTATCTTCGAGACACCACGACTTTCTGAGAAAACAACAATGCATTGGTGTTCTTCCTGAAAACACCATCCTGGCCACTATGGATGTAGAAACTCTTTACATCAATATTCCACACGAGAATGGACTAACAAGCTGTCAGGAACAGTATACCTGATGAGGTCACGGCACACCTGGTGACTGAGCTCTGTGACTTTGTCCTCACCCACAACCATTTCAGATTTGGGCACAACTTATACCTTCAAGTCAGCGGCACTGTTATGGGTGCCCACATGGCCCCACGGTATGCCAACATTTTTATGGCTGACTTAGAACAACACTTCCTCAGCTCTTGTCCCCTAGTGCCCCTCCTTTACTTGCACTACATTGATGACATCTTCATCATATGGACCCAAGGGAAGGGGGCCCTTGAAGAATTCCTCCTGGATTTCAACAATTTCCACCCCACCATCAAACTCAGCCTGGACCAGTCCACACAAGAGATCTACTTCCTGGACACTATAGTGCAAATAAGCGATGGTCACATAACCACCACCCTATACCGGAAACCTACTGACCACTATACTTACCTCCAGCTTCCATCCAGGACACATCACATGATCCATTGTCTACAGCCAAGCCCTAAGATAAAACCGCATTTCCTCCAATCCCTCAGACAGAGACAAACACCTACAACAGCTTTATCAAGCATTCTTAAAACTACAGTACCCATCTGGAGAAGTGAGGAAACAGACTGACAGAGTGAGACAGGTACCCAGAAGTCACCTACTACAGGACAGGCCCAACAAGGAAAACAACAGAACACCACTGGCCATCAGGTACAGCCCCCAGCTAAAACCTCTCCAGCATATCGTCAATGATCTACAACCTATCCTGGAAAATGATCCCTCACTCTCACAGACCTTGGGAGGCAGGCCAGTCCTCGCTTACGGACGGCCCCCCAACCTGAAGCAAATACTCACCAACAACTACACACCACACCACAGAAACACTAACCTAGGAACCAATCCCTATAACAAACCCCGTTGCCTATTCTGTCCCCATATCTACTCTAACGACACCATCATAGAACCCAACCACATCAGCCACACCATCAGGGCTCATTCACCTGCACATCTACTAATGTGATATGTGCAATCATGTGCCAGTAATGCCCCTCTGCCATGTACACTGGCCAACCAGACAGTCTCTACCTAAGAGACTAAATGGACACAAATCAGGCATCAGGAACGGTAACATACAAAAGTCAATACAAAAACACGTCAATCTCCCTGGACATTCAATAACAGATTTAAAAGTAACCATCCTGCTACAAAAAAAATTCAAAAACAGACTTCAAAGAGAAACTGCAAAACTACAATTCATTTGCAAACTTAACACCATTAATTTGGACTTGAATAGGGACTGGGAGTGGCTGGCTCACTACAAAAGCAATTTCCCCTCTCTTGGTATTGACACCTCCTCCTCAGTTATTGAGAGTGGACCACATCCACCCTGACTGAAATGGCCTTGTCAACACTGGTTCTCTACTTGTAAGGTAACTCCCTTCTCTTCATGTGCCAGTATATTTATGCCCGTATCTGTAATTTTCACTCCATGCATCTGAAGAAGTGGGTTTTTACCCACGAAAGCTTATGCCCAAATAAATCTGTTAGTCTTTAAGGTGCCACTGGACTCCTCATTACATAGGAGTGTATATTTGAACATGTAGAAGTAAGATCCCCTTGCAGTAAAATGTATTAAGCTGAAATGGACAGGTTTTTTACCATTAATTTTTCCATGTGAACATCCCCTCCCTCCTCCCAGCTTTAATTTAAACCAATGGACAGTTTACAAACTTTTACCTCATTCTGTTGGCCAAGACCATTTGGTGGCTGTTGATTTTGTTCCAACCACTGTGGTGCTCCTCCATGGACAATCTGTTCACGTAACCACACTAGACTGATAAATGCACAGAGTGTGCATGTGACCACAAAACAACCCTGTAAACAGTCTGCCAATAAATTTTCCCTGTTAAAAAGAAGACATTTATGTTAATATATTTAGTTTTAAAAAAAAATTATTTCCAATTATTTTTGCTCACATAGTTTAATTGATTGTGACTGAGGGATTCTAAGTTCTCATTTTGTGATCTGAAGAGCTATGTCTCCCAGCTCCTTTAGTAAGAAATATACATGTAAGTAATATTTCCGTTTCAAGGGAAAAAATGAAGAAAACAAATGTTCTTGGAAGACTATTTTACTGAAGAAAACTGCATATATTTGAAATTAAATCAATTCACAACACTGTTTATCTTAACCCCTTTGCAAATTATCAAATGCTTTGATTAATATTGTAGCCCTGCAGATTTCAACAATGGGAACATCTCTGAGTACAACTACAGCCATAGACTGTGATCCAGTACAGTGCACAGTCACTCTTACGGTTTCGCTGAGGTTACCTCTCCCCTAACAGGCAATAATACAGAGACCCATTTTGAAAATCTCTTAGTGGAGACAGGGGCTCCCTCACACATATCTGGAATATAAACAAAGTCTAGGGAGTCTTCCTGAATGGCTTAGTATCATACAAGTGAAAGTCTAATGCCCTCTTATTACCTGGTGTATGAAAAGCACACTCCTTTGTAGACTGATGTGGCTTAGGAAAAGAAACAGAAGGTGAACAGTTTGGTTGATACGAAATTCAGAGAACACCTCAGGTAAGAACTTTTGATGAGGTCATAAAGATAACTTCTCCATGAAAAACAAAGTAAAGGGAGAGCCTTCCATTAAAGCCCCCTTCTCCCCAACCCTTCGCACAGAACTTATGGCTACCAAGAAGCCTGTCTTCATAGACAGAGGTAGTAGTGAGCACGAAGTTAATGGCTCAGAGGGTTGTTTCATGAGATGGTAAAGAACCAGGGAGAGATCCCAGAGTGATGTAAGGGCTCTAATCTGGAAAAAAAAGATTGATAAATCCTCTTAGGAATCTCATTGTGGTTGGATGAGCAAATACCAAGAAACTCTCTATTAGCACATGAGAAGCTGTTACTGCCCCTAATGAACTTTGATGGAACGCATAGAAAGGCCTGAATTTTTTACTTCCAACAGGTAATCCAAGATTGATGAAAGAGATGATTGGGATCGGTTACACCAAAGATTATATCTTCTCCATTTCTGAAGGTAAGTATGTCTAGTAGATTCCTTTCTGCTATTTAACATTATCTTTTGTACTTCCTATAAGCATGTGGTCTCCACTCCCTAAAACCATTAAGAAACCAAGCTTGTAGTTGCAGCATATTCAGACTGGGTGAAAAGTCTGATCCACATCCTGAGACAACAATTAAGGTTTGATTGGAAACCACCACAAAGGGTGAGAAGTAAGTTTGATGAGGTAAATAACCCAAACTTGTCTTGGCCAAGTTGGTCCAATTGAAATTACTTTAGATTGGTCCTGTGTGATCTTGATAAGGACCTTTAAGAGCAATGGAGTTGAAGGATATGCACAAAAAAGACCTTTTGTCCACATAATGAGGAAAGTAGCTCCTAGAGGGTGAGGACTGAGCCCCAGGCTGGAACAGAATTTCCTGCATTTCCTGTTGGCTTCCACAGCAAAATAAATAAATAAATAAATAAAACTGACCTCTGGAAATCCCAAAGTTGGGAATATTTCACTGGGGACGCAAGAGTACAACTCCCACTCTAATTAAGGGAGAAATGTCTACTCAGGTTGTCCGCCATGGGGTTGTATATACCCAGGAGGTAACAAGCTTAGATGACTATCCGATTGGCTACACACCAACTTTGAGAGTTATCTGCAGGCCTATACTTCAGAACAGTGAAGTTGTTTGAGCTGCCTACCATACCTCCTGATATGACTGACACTTGAGGAGCCAGTCGTCCAAGTACAGAAAGATAGTTATTCCTAGACGACAGAGGTAGGCACTACGACTGCCATGATTTTTGAGAACATGCTTGGAGTGGATGGGCAGGCCAAAGGGCAGGAACCAGTACTGGCAATGATTGTGATTGTAAGTAAAATGAAGAAATCTTTTGTGAGAAGGATGAATTGTGGAAGCAGGCATCTTTGAGGTCAAGGATTGGAAACCAGTCCCCTAATTCCAGGGAGGGAATTATATCTGCTAGGGACACCACCCTGAATTTTAGATGTCTGACATGTTTGTTCAATGATCTGAGATCTAGTATCAACCTCCTTTTTTCTTGGGTATCAGAAAACAACTTGAATGAACCCTTTTCCCCTATGCTGAAGTGGGACTGGATCCATGGCCCTAGACTTAGAAATGATGAGATTTACAGTGTCAGCAATTGCTCGTGAGAGGGGTTCCTGAAGAGGGACACGGAAGGGAATTGGAATGGCGGGGTGGAGGTAAACTGGATAGTCCGAAGTAACGGCCTTCAATACCCATTTGTCCAAGCCTCTCAGGCTTGATGAAATACAGAGAAGCATTGTTCAAATTGAGGGAGGGGGTCATATCATGTAGCTGATAAACCTGCTCATCAGGTGGACTCTCGATCAAATCATCAAAACTGGACGATGCTGAAGGCTGGGATGAAGCAGCTGAGGTAGTTGCAGGTTTTTCTTTGAAAACCTCCACATCTTAGCTTGTGATTCCAGTGGCCTACAAAAGGTGGAAAACTGAGGAAGGTCAGATCTTTGTAATTGAGAACTGCTAAATTTCTTTTTATTTGCAGGCATGTATATCCCTAAAGAGCTAAGTGTTGCCCTAGAGTCCTTCAGGGTATGAAGCGAGTCATCTGTGGAATCTGTGAAAAGCTTCTGGCCATTAAAAGGTAAAGCTTGCACAGTAAATTGTACCTCCTGCAGAAACCCAGGCAACTGAAGCCAGGAAGCTTGTCTCATAACTACTGAGATGGAAACAGACCTGGCTCGGTGTCCACAGCGGCAAGGGAAGCCTGAGGTGAGATTCTGCCAAAAGCTCACACTTTTATTATGGTGCGGAACTGTTCTCAGTGTTCCTTTTGTTGATCAACAAAAGAATTAAACTTCTTGTAATTCAGTATTTTGACATCTGTGCTTCGTAATTAGCTACCCTGAACTGAAGTGTTGCTGATGAATAGCTCTTATGACCAAATACGGCCAGATATTTCTGGTTCGTATTATAAGGCATGGTTTTTTGGGTATGCTGCCTGCCCCTTTCATGGACTATGTCCATGACCAAAGAATTTGGTGCTGGATGACAAAATAAAAACTCCGAAACCCTGGCCAAAGTTGTGGGGTTTTTTTCTGTTTGTTAAATCAGCCCTCTTGCATCTTGGGGAGGCTGTTGCTGGAGTTCACCAGATGGACATGGCTGGCTACAGGAGAGCTTCCTTAATTGGCAGTGCCACCCATTCTGAAGTAGAGGTGTGCAATATATCCAGGAGTTAGCGATGGGAATTCTGGACTTCTTTCAGGAATTTGCAGTGTGTCAGTCACCCACTTCATTAGATCCTGGAATTATGTAATGTCATCAGCTAATAATGGCAGTGGTAGCATTAATGTCTCATCCAGTGATGATGACAAGATGTTTGTGAGGAGGCTTATCTCCTTTTGTTCACCTTTGCCTCTTGCTCCTCAAAGGTCTCCTCTGGCTCAGAATGGGGAGGAGGGATGGACTGTAAACAGGGAATACGGACTCCCTATTAAAAAGGATGGACAAGCCTATCACCCGAGCTGATCCGAAGAACAGAAGGGTGTGCTATCTGCCAGGACCTAAGATATGGGCTGTGGACCTATGGCTGAAGAGTATCCTGATGTGAGCATGAAAGAATCCACTGACTGTCCTTCACGTGGGAACAAATAATACTGCTAGGTTCTTGCCAGAATGTTATCAAAGAAGACTATGCCAAGCTGGGGAAGACACTTAAAGAAATGGAGGCTCAGGTGATCTTCAGTGGGAGGAGGAGAATGAAGGCAAGACAAGATTGTGATGATCACCAGATGGCTCAGGCAATGGTGCTATAAGGAGAGCTTTGGGATGTTCGACTATTGGGAAGCATGCATGAATAGAGGACTGTTCATGTGACTCCACCTGAGGTGGGAGCAAAACAGATTTCTGGAATGGAGGTTGGCACAACTGATTAAAAGAGCTGTAAACTAGGAATCTGGGGGGGATGATTGGGAGATGCTTACGTAATCTTCACGCCTGATGCGTGGGAGTGGGGAGGCAATCAAGAGAGGGAGAATATAGCATTGGAGAAAGGAACAGCAGTGGGTAAGAGAATGGGTATTAAGAGGAAAGAGAGTGCCAATCCATTTATGTTAACAGTCAGGTAGGCAATGCTGGCAGTAGAATGACTGTACCTAATCGAGTAAAGAATCTCGAAGCCACACAAACAGCTAAGGTCCCTGCACAACAATGCAAGGAGCCTGGGTAACAAAATGCAGGAACTAGAATTATCGGTGCAGGAAGTGAAACCAGATATTATAGGGATAACAGAAACTTGGTAGAATAGTAGTCATGACTGGAGCACAGGGACTGAAAGGTATATGCTCCTCAGGAAAGACAGAAATAAAGGCAAAGGTGATGAAGTATTAACGATGAGGTAGACTGTAAAGAAATTAGAAGGAATGGAATGGATTTTTTAAAAAAAAAAAAAAAGACTGAGTCAAAATCATTTTGGGGAAGAAAACTACCAGAGGGTCCTTGTGATAGTTCTTGAGGTCTGCTACAGACTCCTAGGATCCTATCTGGATATGGACAGAGACCTCTTTTCATGTTTTAATGAAATAAATACTACTGGGAATTGCGTGATTATGGAAGACTTTAATTTCCCAGATATAGATTGGAGGACAAATGCTACTAATAATGGTAGGGCCCAGATTTTCCTGGATATGATAGCTGGCAGATTTCTTCACTAAATAGTCACCGAACCAACAAGAGAGGATGCCATTTTAGATCTGGCATTAGTGAAGAGTGAGGACCTCATAGAAGTACTGGTTGTAGGGGACACTTTGTTCATGTGATCATGAGCTAATTAAGTTTAAATTAAATGGAAGGATAAACAAAA